ACAGTTATTCTAACAATGGAAATATATATGTTGCTGAAAAGTATTCAAAAGTTGCAATGCTAAACTATTTTCATTTGACTTTAATTGCTTTTTTGATAGTCCATATAGTACATGTACCAGTTGGGGTCAATCGCCCAGGGGGATATACACTGTAAAAGCCTATCTGGGATATAATATCCCAAATGGGATATAAATTTTACAGTGCAGTCCAATTTTCAACAAATCTCATTGAGATTATAGCTTGCCAAAAGTTCTTTCCTTTTTTAGTATTTGGATATGATATGGATTCATGATATTTATAGCCAAATAAAATTTTCTTTTTTTTTTTTTGCACTGTAAAATTATATCCTATTTGGAATATTATTTCCCAGGCAGAGTATTCTATGTATATCCCATTTGGACAACTGGTCCAAATTAGCCTGTAAAAGGTTAAGATGATGAACAGTGATCTGTCTAATAAAATCTATAAACAATAGAAACAAGAGAAGAAGGTATAAATCAAGATCCACTGGACACTCCAGAGGTGGGATCAGGTGCCTCCGACAGGTTGGGACCAATCGCCCAAATGGGATATAATAGTCCGTTTGGGATATAATATCCCAAATGGGCTATAAATTTACAGTGCAAAATTGAAAATTTTTATTTTAGCTATAAATATCATAAATCCGCATTAGGACACTTATAAAGGAATAACTTTTGGTTGACAAGTTTTTCTGTATGCCCATTGTTTAGGAGATTGATCCCTTGGAAGTTCCTTAACTTCTTGGGGATCAATCTTACAAACTGTAGGGTTGCAGAAAAACTTGCTTACCAAAAGTTATTCATTTTTAAGTGTTTTGATGCGGATTTAGGATATTAATTGCCAAAAATAAAAATTTTCAATTTTTGCACTGTAAATTTATAGCCCATTTAAGGATTTTTTCCCAAACTTAAGATGCTTCATATCCCATTTGGGCAATTGGTCCCAACCTGTCGGAGGAGTAAGCATCAGCACCGGATGCTTATATTACTCCTCAGGACTAGGCACATATGCACTGTAATGCACAGATGGACACATATGAATACTTAAAGTTAAATACACGAGATTTTGTTGTCTATCTCTTTTTTAAAAAAAAATTATGCTATATGCAAAAAAATACGGATAAACTGATAAAAGTTATTCTGAGTAGCTCAATAATTTTAAGCTAGACTAACAGCTCTAAATTGTGCTAGACCTGTTCACCTGAAAAGAGTGTAAGGATTTAAACAGCTTATCGAATTTTGAATGGATACACAAGAGCTCCCTCTCGGTAAATAATTTTGGGGCGGCAGATTCCTTGCTTTCTGAACCCCCCATTTCTCATCCGATTTCGTCACATTGGCTTGTTTACGTGTTTTGAATAAGAGACACAACGATCCCGATGAAAATTGATTTACAAGTCTCTCTCTCTCTCATTAAGCATGCAAAAAATTATGTCAGAAGAAAAAAAAATCGATGAGAGAGGGAGGGAGGGCAACCACAATAAGTTTTGCTAAGATCTTACCGCATACTTACTAATATAGATATTCAAAAACTTCTATATAACAAGATGTGTTTTTGAAACACTGATGCCCCCGTATGGCAACACGGCAAAGATTAAACTTTCTTCAATGCAAATAAAATAAAATGTTGGTACCCAATTAAAGTAAGGTCTTCTTACAAAAAATACAGTTGTGAAATATGAAAGCCTTTGCACGACCGCTGTTCAAAACTTATGGCCAAGAATTTTTTTCGAGAAAGTTTTTGAAAGATAGGTCAAACTCCAGGGCCAAGGTCAAAGTTGTTGGTGTCTAAAATACATAAAGTCTTGTCACAAGGCCGGATTACAAATGTGAAGTATGAAAGCCCTAGCCGTAACCGTTCAAAAGTTTAAGCCAAGATTACATTTTTTTTTAAGTAGGTCAAACCCCTCGGCCAAGGTCAAAGGGTCAACGTTCTTGGTATTTAATGAAAGGTCTTGTCACAAAGAATAAATATCCAAAGTTTGAAAGTCTAGTACGTCCTAGTATCTACCGTTGAAAAGTTATTGCCAATGTAAAAGTTTGGAATATATGTATAAAAATTGGTCAAACTCGAAGGTCAAGGTTAAAAGGTCAAATTTGATGGTACTAAAAGAAAGGCCTTGTCACAAGGAATAAACCTGTGAAATATGAAAGTCATAGCTCCACTTAATCAAAAGTTATCGACAACGTTATTGTTTTTGCGGACAGACAGACAGCTAGACAGACGGACGGACACGAAAAAAGAAAAATGTACCCCCGAATCTTCGAATACGGGGGCATAAAAAGAAGTCTCGATTCGTTAATTCTATATAAATGAGCGCATGTGACCGCCGAAGGTGTGTAAGGCATCTTGAAATGAAAGCATATTTTAACAGCACCATTTACATAGATAAACAAGCAAATACAAAGAATTCTGCCCCCCCCCCCCGCTTTTGGTGTCTCTGTGGGTTAGGTGTCATTTTTTATGACATATTGTGTCAAATATGAACGCCCCATCATATGTCATTTATAGAAATTATCACCGAAGTTGATTTTTTTATGTAAGGTCAATCGTGAAGGTCAAGGTCAAGAGGCCAGAAATCATAGCATGCTCAGAAATATCTTGTCACAGGTAATGCACAATATGAAAGTCAAATCTCTTCTCAAGCAAAAGCTATAAGGAAAAACTAACAACTTTGAAAAGTAGGTCAAACCTCAAGGTCAGGTTCACAAGATCAAAAATCATAATGTAATTAGAAAGGTCTTGTCACAAGCAATACACAGGTTTAATATGAAAGCTTTATATCGATCTCTTTGCATTCAGAATTCATGTTATAGGTTTAAGTTTTTGAAAAGTAGGTCAAACTTCAAGGTCAAGGTCACGAGGTAAAATAATATTTGTTTTTAGGATACTCTTCTCACAGGTAGTATACATTTTGATATGAAAGCCCTATCTCTTCTCATTCAAAAGTTATGACCAATTCAAAGTAATAATTTTTTTTAAAGCATGTCAAACTTGAAGGCCAAGGTTGTGGCATCGAAAATTATAGTGTATTTAGAAAGGCCTTGTCACAGGTAATATATACATGTAGTATATGAAATTCCTATCTCTTCTCATTCAAAAGATATGACCAAGGTTTAAGTTTTTGAACAGTAGGTCAAACTTCCAGTTCAAGAGGTCAAAAATCATTGTTTATTTAGAAAGGTCTTGTCACAGGTAATATATATACACATCTCTAATATGAAAGCCCTAACTCCTCTCATTCAAAAGTTAACACGAATACAGAGTAATGTCTATTTTTTAAATAGGTCAAACTTCAAGGTCAAGGTTACAGGGTCAAAAACCAAAGTGTATTTAGAAAGGTCTTGTCATAGGTAATATACATGAGTAATATGAAAGCCCTATATCTCTTCTCATTCAAAAGATACGACGAGGGTTAAAGTTTTTGTGACGGACGGACAGATGAATGAGATTCGCGAAAGCAGGGGACAATAATAGTCAGGCACGTATCATCGGGGGGGGGGGGGGGGTATAGTTTTTGCCCTGTCCGTCCGTTTGTCCGCAAAAAACACTAAAAAATAACATCGCCCTTAAATTATTATAATTAATTTTTCAAGATTGCTAGAAGCTATAGCTTTCATATTTAAGATGTGTATATCTTATGACAAGACCTTCTTTTTGGAACCGACATATTTAACCTTCGTCCGAAATATCTTACGTTTTCCAGGCCTTTTCGTAATTTTGATATTTTACGTGCCCAGAAACCTGGCAAAGAGGCATGAAAAAGCCTGGAAAACGTCAGGAATTTCGGACTAATTAAACCTAAGAGTTTGATCCACTTTAAAAAATTAATTTAACCATGGCCATTACATAGTACAAGTGTACTTTTAAAAAAGGGTATCTGGGCTTCATTTTTAACCGTTGGCCTTGACCTTGGAATTCGACCCACTTAAATAAATTTAAAAAACTTTGATTAAACTGGCGATAACTTTTGAATGGTTGGTCCGTATGCAATCATATTTCAATGGTAATTTATTGAGACAAATTCTTCGATCTTTTAATAACAATTTTTAAAATCTTTTTACCCTCATCTTGTTTCACAAACACAAACGGAAAAGGATAATAATCATCTTGTGTAAGACGGTAAAACTTCATGCAAATGATATCCTTTCATTAATCTAATGCAGATATTCTCTAAGTTGATGGCTCGTTTTAGACCTAATACTCCCCCTTTTTGATAACAAGGGGGGGGGGGGGGGGTATTAAAACGAGCCACCAACTTCTCAGTAGAGAATATAGTACAGATAGCTAGCCTTCTCAAGTCTATGAAAATATCACTGACAATTTTTAATACGATGAATATTAAAAGAGTCCATCATATAGGAGAAGGAATGCTACACCATATTTTTTTTTTATATATGTTGGATCTTTAAGACATCCCTTTTAAAATAATGTCTGAGAGGGAGGGGGTTGGAGAGATTTAAAAAAAAGATTTTTTTTTTGGCAAAAAATATATTTTAGAGGTTAAAAAAATTGCTTCTAATAAATACATAATATGAATAATCTAATACATATCAAGAATTTTGATACAGTCCGTAAACGTTCAAAAAGTTAATCTCTTTGTGTGCTTTTTCCAGAGCTTTGACCTGAGTAAGAGCTTATTTTTAAATATTTGTCATAAAAGGTTTTGGTATTAAATTCTACTGAGATACCCTAAATCTGTCTTTAACTGGAACATTAAAATTCATCTACATAAAAAATGAATGATTTGAATCAATATGAAAATGAAAAACAATGATAGTTTATTTTTTGAATTAAAGGTGCAATCACTGGTTAATTTATTTGCTAGGATTATGCATGTCACAGCTTAAATTATATGAAATAATCATCGAAATTCTTTTGATGATAGTCAGCTGCTCGATGTTTACGTTATAAGATATTTTTAGATCGTTCGCGCGAGGAATTCCCACTAGGACTTCCTTGACATTCGGAACACACTTTGGAATTTCCAATGATTTCCAATGTATTAGTGGCAGCCATGTTTTAGCAAGGCCTAAACAGAAAGTATTTTGTTAAATATTGATATGTCCGACCAAAATGACAACGTTTACTATATTCTTCTTGCTGATAAAATAGGAAAGAAGAAAGAGAGAGGAATACTACGAACAACATCTTCAAAAGTTGACGTGTTACCCGGAACTCTTCTACTGTTGGTGGAAGAGCGCTACGATAAACAGAGAACCACCCTCTCGTGGATATTAGAGACACTTGAACCAGAGAACATTGAGATTGAATGTCAGCCCACGGACACTGGTCAGCTAACTAAGATAGAATTTGCCTTACTTCAGCCCATCCCTGTCTGCCAAGAACGCCTGTCTATATTTCAGGATCAGGAATGGCTGAAGGAAGGGGCACAACTTCAGCTGGAGGACCCCGTCACAGTGGCTGTCAAAGGACAACCCTACCTCAAGGGAATCATCAAGTACAAGGGCGAGCTACCGGGGGTCAAGGGAATTCAGTTTGGGATTGAATTGTTAGGGGTATGTGTACGTTTAAATTTAGGTGTAACTTGATTCCTTGAAAAAAATGTTTGACTCATATTCAACATGTTCAACTTGAAATTGCTTGTCATGTAAGAACAAATTATAAATTGTGAAAAGATTATCAAAGGCTCTGTGGTTTAGGTTATCAATTGACCAGATTACGACGGTAAATTAAGGTTTAATAATATTTTTATGGGTTTGGGCACTTATGTAGGCTTGCATGGTTAGTTGGTTAGCTCAGTCAGTAGAGCTCTGACGAGTGATAAAGGGATCCCGCATTGGATTCCGGTCCATCGGTACATTTTCTCCTTTTCTGTTACAGATTAAAGACAAAGAGTTTCACGATATTCATCAGGTTGGGACCAAGTGCCCAAATGGGATATAATAACCCATTTTAGATATAATACATACATACTCCAAATCATTAATGGGATACATGTATAAATTACGACCAAAAAATTACACTTTTCATTTTGGCTATGTATCATAAATCCGCATAAAAACTTCAAAAGGCTGAAATTTCTGCAACCCTATGTTTTGTTAGATTGATCCCCAATAAGTTTAGGAACTTCCAAGGGATCAATCAGCTCCTAACTAGTAACTAGTGGGCATGCAGAAAAACTTGTCAATCAAAATTTATTTCTTTAAATGTATCTTGATGCAGATTTGTGATATTCAGAGTCAAATTGGTCCCAACCTGTTCAAAGTAATTTAAGGCCACATTGATAAAGCAAAAAATATTGGCATGCAGTCTCCACATAATTCTATTTCTCAGTTGTATATAGGGATGAAAAGCTTTTAATTGATTTTACAAAATGATGTGAACTTTATGTAATAGACAAGTGAAATAATACAAAGGAATTCAATGAGGAGGGCAACTTGGGATAGTACTAAGGACTACTAAGTTCGGGTTATGTAGACACTGAATGGCTCGACTGGTTTTGTTTTGCCTTGATACAGGATGTTATGCATGTTTACATCTGGAACAAACAATTAAAAATCACTAGATTGCATTTTCATGAAAATTCTTCCTCCCTAATTTTTAATGATTCTCAGAAAAAAGACTTAGTTAACAGTTCAATAATACAGCTATTATTAGCTAATGAAGTAAAAAAGGAGACAGTCATAGATTTTATTGCCATGATGACTAGACCTGTGGCTACTTAAATGTATACATGACATTGATATGCATCATTAAGATCAAATTGGATACCAGAAGCCTGACAAATTACTGTTAATCTTAATATGTTACATATTATACAACATTTGACCAAAATCTATTTTTCAAAAAGTTACTAGCCAAATTTTGTTGAAACCCTTTCCGAATATACTAAAATATAAATAGTTAATCAAGATATCTGGTAGTGATGTTGCATTGGTAAACAGGCAAAGGTGCTGAATACACAGCCAAATGTCGTACATTTTCAGCATATTAATCGTACAAAATTCAACATGTTCCAAGATTTTAAAGTAAAAATCCAAAAAGTTAATTTAAAAAGTCTCTTTAAATTTTATTTCATTTCTTATTTATTTACCAGTAATATATAGGGTATTAATTTAAAACATAAAACTAAATTCATTATTGTTTTAGGAGAGCAAAGGCAAGGGAACATGTGATGGGGTGTTCAGAAAAAAGCGATTTTTCACCTGTGAACAGAACTGCGGGATATTTGCTGCTATACACAAGGTACGTCGGGACCAGGATGCTCCATATCAGCGCAGATATACAGATCGATCAATCCCAATCCATGAGGAGACGCCTATGTACCGAGAGGAGAGGGAATTGATAGAAAACTCCAATCTTAAGGAGAAGGACCGCATTGTATGGATCAGTGATAACGGTCCAGAATTCGGGGAGGTGAAGTGGGTGGGGATCCTGCCTGACAGCAACAGGAGGGATATCACAGTGGGCGTGGAATTCGTAAGTTTATGTGTTTGAAAGTGTTCAGTATGAATATTATATACACAGTATATGAGTGTGTGGTGTCACAGAATAAAAATTGGAAAGATATATTTTATTTGTACTTGAAAATAGAACTTCCTATTTTTTTGAAAGAATTTGTCTTAATATATTGTAAAATAAATTTAGAAAGAGCAACAAGAGATGTCAAGAATTTTTCTCAAGAATTCTTTAAAAAGGAGCTAGATTATAATGGAATTGACCAAACATCTTTTGTTCATCCATGTCTTCTTATCTTTCCAGGACCATAAAAAAAGGAAAAACAACTTTAGGTTTATTATTACTTATGAATATCTTTCAGGATAATCCTGTTGGATCTGGTACAGGGAAATATAAAAATCACAGACTGTTTTATGCCAAAGCTCAGCATGCATCGTTAGTACCTATCATGGGTTTAATGAAGGCGGAGGAATACATGCAAATGAACCAGGCCTCTGGGTCCTCCAGTTCCTACTACCCCCAGCAGCCAGAGTACGGCTTTATGCAGGAACCCGAACAGATCAACTCCCCTCGACCTTCACAGTCCCGGACCAGTCAACAAAGTACAGGATACAGCTCAGCATGGACAGGTAACCAGAATTCGTCAGCAGGATACAGTCAAGTCCAAAGAGAGATTTTGCCACAGCCTGTACAGAGCAAGGAAAGGGGGAGTTACTCCAGCAACGCCTCTACTCCATCCTATCAGCAGGTGCTCTCAAAAGAACAGCTCCAGGTTCATCTCCCCCCGCCGCCCCTAAAGGAGAAGTTACCCCCCTCTCCCCAGGAGTCAGGTCTTCCTGTCAGACAGAAGAAGGAGGAGAAGCCTGCTGATTTGGGAGGACCCAATCCACTGTACGAATACACCAAGGCACAGGGTAATTGTCACTTTATAATAGTTAATATAATTACATGTAACTTCTTTCAGATTTGCAATTTTTGTATATTGGTGATCTTGCATTCATTTTATGCAGAATTTTCATGGCTTACGGCCTTATATCTTTTGGTCATTTTTTACGGTAAAGAGTTCATATTTCAACTTGTTAACATCCATATGTAGGAGAAATTAGTTCCCTTTATCTGCATTACCTTAAGTAAAAAATCTTCATGTACATGTATATACCTATTTCGATTAACTACCGGTATGTAAAATGGTTTTTACTCCTATTATTGCCGGTATTGATATTGGTAAAAAAAACTAATAATATATTAATTTTTGTAACTTGTTATTTAGATCAACAAATTGAAATGAAGTCTGAGTCATTAGAACAACCAAACAGTCGCCGCAGTAACCCTAGCTCTCGATCATTACTTCCTGCTGACCCTGACCTTGAAGTGGGGTCAATGGTGGAGGTCATGTCAAACCCTCCGCTGTATGGGGTCATTCGATGGATGGGGTATCTTCCTGACCAGAAGGAACCTGTTAAACCCATAGCAGGACTGGAAATGGTAGGAGTTACTCTGAAACGGTTTTTAGTAAACTTTAGAACCACCATCGATCAATTTATGGAACAAACAATTCAGACTTTTGTCATTTTAAAATTATTCATGTGGATTTTAGCTCTGTTATTTTTTCTTTTTAAAGAATTTATTGTTCTTAATATTTGCTGTATTTAAAAAGTCCATACTTTTTAAAAAGATCAAAAAAAATTGAACTCATTTTATATAAACTTCCTTCTCATGATGACGAATTTTACTTGATAACAAATGTTAGTTTGTGTATAGTCAATGAAAATTTGCTAAGCTATATGAAATTTTAAAAACACTTAAAACTATTGCATTCAATCAATTTTCAATCAATTTCTAAAAAATGCAACAATTTTTATTTTCAATAAATGTATTTACTTTAATAGGAAGAGGAAATATCAGCGGGAACAGATGGAAGTTTTGGAAAGCATCGATTCTTTTCATGTCCCCCCAAAAAAGCCTTTTTTGTACCTCTATATAAATGTCGCAAGGACAAACGTTTTGTGGACAGTGTTCGTCGTAATAGCGGAGTTTCAAATAATTTTGGTAGCATGGAGACGCCGGACGTCATGGGAAATATATCTCCGCCAGATTCTTTGGAAATTAAACAAATAGAACTGGATGTGTGTGGCAAACAGAAAGGCATTCAGGGTCACCATAACTCTTGTTACTTAGACGCTACATTGCTTGCTATGTTTTATTTTACTACAGTATTTGATGGAATTTTATATAGACCTAAACGCAGTGATGACTTATATGAATATGATGAAGTAAAACAAGTGATAAAAGAGGGCATTGTTAATCCACTAAGGAAGTAAGTTATTATGGAGAGAATTTAAGGAAATTGTTGAGTGGAAGGAAAACATGATTCTTCTTGGCAACAAAACAAATCCATGTCACTTTTTAGCTCACCTGAGCTGAAAGCTCAAGTGAGCTTTTCTGAGTGATCACCTGTTTGTCTGTCTTCCATCTAGGTGTCCATCTGTAAATTTTTCACATTTTTAACTTCTTTTTAAAAATCGCTCAAAAAATTTTAACCAAACTTGGTACACAACATTGTTGGGTGAAGGAGAGTTTACGTTCTTTAAAATAAAAGGCAAACTTTAAGTCTCCTTGCAAGGGGAGATAATCAAGAAAAAAGATAGGGTTGGGTCATAAAAAATTCTCAAGAACCACTGAGCTTGCAAAGCTGAAACTTATGTGGAAGCATCATAGGGTAGTGTAGCTTTGAAATTGTTCAAATCATGAACCCCTGGGGGTAGGGAGGTGTCACAATAGGGAATCCAAGTTTCACATTGATATATATAGGAAAAAGATTTTAAAATCTTCTTCTCAAAAACCACTGGGCCAGAAAAGTGGAAACTTATGTGGAAGCATCCTGTGATAGTTTAGTTTTTAAATTGTACAAATTCTGACCTCTGGGATAGGGTGGAGCCACAATAGGTATTACAAGGGGGAAAATCGGGGGGGGGGGGGGGGCAGCTTAGCCAAAGTTACTAAGGTGAGGGATGTGGCCCATGGGCCTCTTGTTTTCTCTGTTCAACATTTATAAGAATTATTATGTTATAATTATAAGAAATAAATGTTTAATTATTAGTTAGTATGCCCTTGCATTATTTTATAGTGATATCTTTATTTTTGTGGATTAATGGATGACTTTTTTAAAATTTCAGACATAATTATGTACGTGCTGATAAAGTAATGAAATTACGTCATTTACTCGATAAATTAGGAAATATTCCCGGCATGATGAGTGAAGAAAAAGGTATGGCTGTTATTGTGTTTTTAGATAAACTGATTCGTAGTCTATTTATCAATAGTTTTACTGCCAAGTTAATAGTCATTTTATTCAATTATGATTCATTAAAATAAAAAAATATTCAGTCTGTATATTTCTCGAGAAATAGATTGTGTAAGTACTGCTGTGAATCATAATAATTTATAATATTAATTTGTTTTTATTCTCTTTTCTTGGTAGATCCAGAGGAGTTTTTGAATTTACTTTTGAACCAGATTACAAAGGCAGATCCTTTTTTACATATAAGGTAATGATAAAAATAGAGTTACGCTTATAAACACTAGAAAAATATTACCTGTCAGAAAGAAAAGCAAAGTAAGCTCAATTTAATGCAAGACAAATATTGGATCTCTCATGATTTGTGGTTAGATATGATTTTCTTTTTCATCTAACAAGTTGTTTGTTTTTATCCACAAGCCTTTCTGAGGGGGATCAAAACACGCAAGTTGGAGAAGAAAAATTATATATTAATACCATAGGAGATCCTTTTTATAACACATCACATGTTTGAACATAGCTAGTTCATTGTTATTAAACAGTTTAAAACCCTAATATTTGACTTTTATCAAATTCCAAAATACCACTACTTGGAAGGATGATTTCTTATTTTCAGGATAATTATATTTTAAGAGTAAACAGTCAGCTAAGACAAGGTTGTTTAAATCTGTGAGTTTGTTTTACAGATCAGATAATGGGGGTGGTAGCCAGCATTCCTTTTTGTATCAGCTGATTATGGAGAAGGATGAGAGATTAGTGCTTCCTACCACACAACAGTTATTTGAATTGTCCTTCCTTCAGATGAAAGTGAAACTAGAGGAGGTATGACACAGACACTTCATGTTTAGCACAAACTTAAATTTTCTAGACTTTATTTGAGAAATCTCTAATGTGCTTCTCGACATATTGCATTTAGTATTAAAATACAACTTTTAACCAAGATAATTCCTCTGTTTAAAAGAAAGACATTAATTAATGTATTTGGCCAAGTTATAAGTCAAAGCGTCATAATCTGGCCTTTGATGTATGACATTGACCTCATCTAATTAGGTTAAGGTCATACATCAAAGGTCAAACTGTTACTACTTATTACCAGGGCTTATTGTTTCACCATATTTAATGTAAAACATTCTGTCCTACATGTATATTCTTTCCCCTTTAATTCTTATGATATGATGTGTTTCCTACCTGGGACATGTGATACCATTTTCAGTTAGTGGTACTTGTTACTTTTACAGAGACCCCCTTGTTTGATTCTCCAGATGCCTCGATTTGGGAAAGATTACAAGATGTACCGTCGCATTGTTCCTAGTTTAGAGCTGGACATCACTGATGTCTTACAGAATGGTTGGTTATTTGAGATAGCAATTTTCATCAAATTACCTAAACATGTATCAATAACTTTGAAGATTTTATCAAAACTAAATCCCCATTAAAGCTTCAAGTATTAAACACGAGATAGAGGTTTCATAAATTTTTTAGCGATTTGAAAGTGGTATTTGGCTCGAAGTTTTTTTTTCATAAATAGATGTATGATATATGAGTTGCTTTTTGCAGCACCGAGGGAGTGTATAATATGTGGTGATCTGGCCGCATTTGAATGCAAGGAATGTTACAACCAGCATGGAGCAGGACTCAACACTATTGCTTTCTGTGAAGGCTGTAAAGAGATGGTAAGATCTCCATTAGTATTTTGTAGTACCCTGACATTTTAGAGTTACTGAGTATAAATACATATTTACTTATAACCGAGTATAAATACATAATCATTACTTTTTAAAAAACTTATAACTGAGTATAAATACATTATTACCAGTACTTATAACTTTGAAAGCATTATTGCTGTAACAGTTTGGACAATATGTTATTAAGGATGTACAACACACCTACCCCAAAAAATTCCTGTCGTTTAATTTTCGTTATTTTTGTATATTTAGTACATGACTATATCTACTGCATGTATGCGCATTTTGGAAAAAATCGTTCGAGTGGTTTTTGGACAGGATATTCCAAAAGTTACCCCCCTTTAGTTGTTTACAAGGAGAGAAAATTTTTAATCAATGAACTACTTAAACCTTGAATTTAAAAAAAGCCAGGTTTATAGATATAACTGTCAAATTTCATTGACTTATTCTTTTAACCATTTAACACAAAAACATAGTCATCTTTTTGATATAATTATCATCAAAACAATTTTTAAAGACCTTAAACTGAAAAACTATGAATTATCTAAGCCTTGAAAATTGTGTATTTTTCAAATTCAAAATTTTTTTTTGAAAAAACCTGTCGTTTAATTTTTGTAAAAAAAATTATTTATGTAGCTGGTAGTAAAAATAATCTTTATAATTTTTTGTATAATTTTTGTACGACCCCCAAAACTCCTGTTTTGATTTAATAGCGGAAAATTATCCCCTCCCCCTTTCTCAATAAATCACGTTCCCGCGCGTCTTTCAGATGGGGGTCGATCACTTTGCTATGAATCTACAAATACACATTTTAAAAAAATCAAATTGGAATAATGCTTTTGCTTCAAAAATATATTAACTTACATATTTAAAAGTTCTCATAGGTAAAGCCTATTTAAATGTAGTTTTTTAGGCAATTTTTGAATACCCCTACCACCCCCACCCCTTCAATTTTTTTTTGGCGTCGCAGACCATTAGCGTTTGACGAAACGTTGTTTACAGTGCAAATATACAAGTATTTCGTCATTTGAATCCGGGAGGTATGCATTAATTAGTTTTTAAATTCATGAATGCAGAATAAATATAGACTGCTGGTTTTATATGTATCAGGAAAAATAACTGAAGGATTTTAGTGTTTAGACCATATATGTATGCGTTATGCATTCCATATCACATGAAACCTGGATACGAATTCAAGTTATGTTGAATATGTTGATTTTTAATTTTATTTCTTCAATTTTATTTATCAAAAAAAAAAGGTGTATGTTCAACTCTCCTGTGATATAAATGGAAATAATTATAGTTTCTTTCATTTGTCATTATTTCAAACAAGACAGTATGTGGCCGTGGGGATACATCGACATTTGCATACATGTACACCCCTCACGATATTGTATGCATTCTTTCAATGTCGTTGTTTCTGAAGTTAAAATGAAAATTCCGTATTCGTCCACATTATTTTCAAAATATCAAACATTAAACTCTTCATCTATTTTAGTTTATATCAAATCGCACTTTGATATTTTTAAAAATCTTATAGGCTACGTTTTGTTTTGATTCGAGGAAATGTGAGCCGACATTGTTGACACTTGACAGAAAGTCAAACGATTTGCTGCAAAAGGATATTCATAAATTCAGATAATTTCAGTACTAGTAAACGATTTTTTTTCAATTCTATACTTACATTGTGTGTTTGAGGTCTATAGTATTCAATTCTCGGATTTATCAGGTCTTGCTGTAAATGTATTTGATTCTGTCTATGCGGAAAACCGTGAATAAAGGGAAGAAAACAAACATCTCCTACATTTTCAGAGTTGTTCCTCTTTGATCAGTAAGGGTCTGAGAACAACATCGATTTTATAGGCTATTGTAAAAAGTTTTTTTGTTTGTTTATTGTTGTTTTATTTAATTAAAGAAGAAAAAACAATATTTATATCGTAAATGCACAAGTTATAATAAAGACCATTAATCAGAATGTTATATAGCCAATTGTACATGATGAGAATTTCGGCAATGTAAAATAAAATTTTCAGGAAAAAAATACTGCGCTTTAATCAAGAATACAATTTATTATATATGAAATGAAATACATTTTTAAAAGAGATGGTATTTTACGTCTTGCTTTTAAATCCGGTTAATTAAAAAAAATACTTATGGACTGAGTATAGTACTCATAATCACAGCCAAGCCCCATATCAAATTTTTCTTTTATGATTGATATACATCGGAATCGTTTTACTCGTCATTTTGACGCTTTATTTTTGACGTTAAATTTGACGTCACGTCAAACGTTCAATTGAAATCGCAAGAGTTATCTCCCCCAGTGTGTTGTACGTCTTTAAGTGGTTATGAAATTAATGAAAATATCAAGGTAGAAGATTTATGGTATATCAATACATACTGTAAATATAGCCATAATTACTCATAAAGAACAATCTGTATACATGTACTTGAACTCATTATAATTTTTAAAAACTATCTCCTTTTCCTGTAAATTTTGACAGAGTCACAAACACAAGGTTAGGATTAATCATAAATGGGAGGCCATTGCTGTACCCCAGGACTATAAGGCCATTCACAGTGAACAGAAGCATATACAGAAGCAGAACCCCAGCATACCGCGGGAGAAGATGGAACTGTTTGCCGTCGTCTGTATCCAGACCAGTCACTATGTGTCCTTTGTTAAGTGTGGGAAAGGCAAAGACGCCCAGTGGATCTTCTTTGATTCCATGGCAGATCGCATGGGTAGCATAATTATTTCATTTCTAATAAAACTCAGATGCAATTTATAAACGCATGTAAAATTGTGTTTTAACTGCTGTAAGTTTCTTAAAGATCTTGGTATTCAAATGATTGTAGTACAAGAATGAGTTGGAAATAAAAATGAATGATGAAGTGTAAATTCACGGCAGTGAGGATTTTTGTTTTACAGGTGAACAGAGTGGATACAATATCCCCGAGGTCAAACTCTGCCCCGATTTATCAAAATGGCTGTCAGAGGACTATCAAGAGGAGATAATGCGTCGGGGAGATGATAAGGAACTCCCAGAACACATTCGCCGTCTGCTTTGTGATGCTTATATGTGCATGTATCAGAGTCCCGAAGTCTCCATGGTCCGATGATAAAGCTATAAAAACAGAGTGTTGTGTCGCGCCATCACGATTCTTCCTCCAGCCCAGCAGGGTTCGCTAGTAATGCATTATAGACTGGATTGGTGTCTGAGTTTGCAACATTTTCAACTCAATTCTCAGTGGGCTTCTGTGAACAAAATACATCCATTGTCTTATTTATTGCAAAGCATTCTTAAATATTTGTGTGAAAAGGAATATAGTTTGTGATATTTGTGACGAATTCTCCACTAATTTGTTTTCCAGACTCATCAAGCTTTATAATTGTTAGTGTTTTTCAGAACACATGGTAAATAATTCTTTGAGAGTACCATTTTGGGTGGCAGAGAAATATTTATACACACGAGGTTTAGAAGGTGTTACGGATGCTATCAATAAAATATGTCATTTAACTTCTTTCATCTTCATAAAGATGTTCAGAGTAAAAAAAAAAAAATTAATAAGCTTTAAAAATCAAACATTTAAATCCAAATTCAGATTTTATACATTGTAAAAGGCTAAGTGCTTGATGTGTTACAGAAACTGTTATATGTGATAAAGGGATATAAATACAAGAGAAGGAGATTATTATTATGAAGGCTATAAACAAATTTCATTACACAAGTGAGTAAGGGCTATGTATGGGGGTTTCTAAGCAAAAAATCTAATTAAAACCCATAATGGCTATACTTACCGCACAGAAAAATTTAAGACTTGTTTTCTAGTATATTCTTAGTACTCACAACATGTGATAGCCAGTGCACATTATGACATCATATTATGATGTCATCAACCTCTACTACACAAGTTTATAAGGAACACTAACAAAATCGCTTTGGTGCAAGGGCATACCTTACTTTGTTTTACAAAAACAAAGTATGAATAGACGCAGAATATTCCAAGGAATTAAGATGTTGCTGCATAAATGTCGACACTGCAAGTGTTTAGTTACTATTTTTACAGTTTTAAGTTGACATAGAGTAAAAATTCACAGTCCAGGTTAAGTTTCCTACAATTTTTATCGAAAGTGCATAGGATTTGTGCAGCAAATTTATGAATTTTTAGAATATTTTCCTTAATATTATTTGTTATTTATTTTAAATTAAATAGGACATGCCCTTGCGCTGATGTTGGTTTGTTTATGTGCTTAATTACTTTGAATGGGGAAGAACAAGGACGTCATAATATGACGTCATGTGTACTAGCTTTAACATGCTGTGGATACTAAGTATGAATAAGAAAATCAATTTGAACTTTCTCTGTATATTAAATATACAATTTATGCATTTTTGTTAACTCATTTGCATAAAAATACCCATATTTAGCCTTAACTCACTTGCGTATCTGACTATATTCATATTTATTTTAAATTAAATAGGACATGCCCTTGCGCTGATGTTGGTTTGTTTATGTGCTTAATTACTTTGAATGGGGACCAAGGACGTCAATTTGACGTCATGTGTAATTTAATATTGTGGATAAAGTATGAATAAGAAAATCAATTTGAACTTTCTCTGTATATTAAATATACAATTTATGCATTTTTGTTAACTCATTTGCATAAAAATACCCATATTTAGCCTTAACTCACTTGCGTATTTGACTATATTCATATCTTTTGAGTTAAGGTATGTCACTCATGAAATTTTAAATCAAGAATTTTTTGAGAAGTATATTTTAGATAAGTACTCATATAGTGAGACTCAAAATCACCGAGGAAATAGGGAGTCAGTGTGCATCTTACTAAAGTACGGTACAATAAAGTTGACCTTTTTGCACTTAAATTTTAACTCTTCAGTTAATTACTTGTACCTCTATCATATTTTATCAGATGTAATCATGGCAATAAATAAAATTTTATTTTACGTAAAGTAGTTTGAATAGTATTTATCATTGAACAGTTTTGCTAATTTAATGCACGTAAATTATTGTGTGACCTTTTTGCACTAAAAAGTAACATATTTTGGGTATTAAAAAACTAAATAGGTAATAAAACATTTTCTTAAATCAAGCTTTTTACGACTTAAGTGCTGATCAGTCACAAGTATCGAGTACTTTGAAATAATGAAAGAAAAGTTGGGGTCAGTGATGATGATTTTCAGGCGAAAAACGAGGTAAATTTTATCTTGACTTATTTGACATATCTTCATTTTTTGGCAAAGTTTGTTGAAGGAAGGTGTGAAACTTGTTCTAAAAATATAAATGAAGACCTATATTAAATATTCCTAGCAATTTCATAACGGAAAATATTCTCCGAGTAAAAGTATGTGAGGCTAAAGTTCCAAGATATTAAATTTAATAAATATGTAGATTTGCAGAATTATCTGCTAAATATCCTTCCACTATAAGAAATAGTCCCCTATAAATCTTGCTTCTTTGTAGCTATTTGAACAGTTTTTTCATTGAATGTTAAAACATTAACATTGTTTAATTTAAATGTGTTATCAAAATTGAATTTTAATAAATAGTTTTTAAGTTAGAGGTTATATGCGTGAACTTTTCTAAAAAGCTGATGAGTGACATACCTTAAAAATTCAAAAGGTCCTGTCTAGAGATAATAGTACTTACATGTACTAGTACTGCCAATTTGACAGGTGAATTAAATTTTAAAATTTCAGCATATCCAATTAAAATCTACTGATAATCTAGATATATGTATGCATTGTATGGTAATATTTAAATGTGGGCACATTTGAAGGATAATTTACATATGAGGCCCTCAAGTATTGTTCTGTTTGAAGGAAACAGTATTATTTCTGCTCTGTTTAACAGCTGAAGATTTTTAACCTCTAATATACTGTTTTGATTTTTTAAAACTTTCAAGTTTAATTTTCCGTCCAGTGTTAGGGTTTCTTCTTGACCTGTTCTGCATTTCTGCTCTGCTGAATGTGACTAGATTTTATTATATCTCTAATACATAATTTATATATGAAATAAAGAATACAACTCACTAAGAAAAGCCTTGTCTTCAAATAATTTTCAAAGGCTTAACTCTTGTCAATATTGGGAAATGAAGAGTAACAGGGATGGAGAAAAATGTGACAGACCAGACTGGGATTCAAACCCTGGACCCCTGAATCTCTGGTCAAGTTCTCTACCAACTGGCCACTGGCATGGAACCCACCAGACTGCTACAGAGTGAAGCACTGTTCCATTAATATTTTTCAAATTAAATATTTTTATGGTTCTTTGTAAAATAGAGGGATATGCATCTTTAAGCTACCTTATATGGCCACTGTAATTATCAGAGTTGATTACCAAGAATATGGATTTTTCTCTGTTCTATGAAGTGCCAAATGTAGGCCCCATTTCCCATTGCAAGAGTGTTCCCTTTTCCCCAAAAGTTATGGTCAAGGTTAAAGTTTTTTGGAAGTGGGTCACACAGTAAGGCAAAGGTCAAAAAAAATTTACTCATTGAAAGATTTTTACACAATGAATACATATTTGAAGTATTATAGACCTAGCACCAACTATTCAAAAGTTATGGCCAAGGTTAAAGAGTTGCATTTCTTTCTAAAAGTGGATCAAACTCCGAGGTCAATGTCAAGAGGTCAAACTTGGTACTGCACAAAGAAAGTTCTTGTCACAAGGAAATACACTTGCGAAAAATAAAAGTCCGTAAAGCCCTATCCACTCAAAAGTTAGGGGCAAGGTTAAATTAAGTTTCGTAACTGTGACCTTGAACTTGCCAAAAACCTTGGTCAAGAAATGGAATGTCCTGTGGTCATAAGTAATCTTTTCATGAAAAATAGACATGCTATATTTCTTCATTTGATCCTTCTTCATTACCAAATTATAGCCCTAACAAGTTTGCAATTTTTCTGCCTTGTTGGAATGAATTTGGGTCAAGGTTATGTCACATGAATTTATTATCTTTGAGTTCTATGACTTAATATGCCTCTTTTATACATGTACTTGAAGTGTGTAATACATATCTAGCATCTTGTGAGTTCTACAGGATCAATAGTCATCTTTTATTCTTTGTTAACAAGTTCTCTTTTCCTTTAAAATTAGCTACCAAAGAAAGTTAGTCCCCTGCCTTTTGAAATAAAATGCAACTCATTCTTTGAAATAAAAACAATTTAATGATTGATGCTGCATAGTGTAAATGTTAAGTGAACTGTACAAACACTTTTCAGAACAAGAGCCAACATTACAATAGCTGAATTTAAACTTCAGTATGTAGAAAACTACTGATACATATATCAGAGCCTGGTTATCTGTTAAACAGGTGGGTTTTTGTATCTTCTCTATAACACTCCTTGCTTGAATTATTTTCCTGACAAATTTTGCATACAATTCTTCTATCACAATTTCACAATCCAGCACTATGTGGACATTGATAAACATAGAAACATTCCACTGTGTCCATATCACAATACATGTCTATCATGGAAGTTTCTCTTGTCATTAAAATTTACTTGAGGGTTGAGGTCCCCACTGTGCGCTTCTCAAGTTTTATATCTGGTACCTTCACAAATAATCCACCAGTAATAATCCACATTCCTCCGGGTCCACACCTCTTAAACAGTTGGTAACAATACCAGTTGTTTAGGGCATGCACAAGCCCAACTTCCGCTCTTTTGTTACTTTTCAGAAGATTGCAGTCTTTATTTTCTCTGTCATTCTGCTCTTGCTGCTTTTGTATCGCTCACAATCACTCTGATGTGACAGTAGCTGTTCATGTACAATGTACATGTACTTTCATTTTCATACAAATTATCTTAAGCATCAAAGACAATTATACCATTTAGGTTTTCTACATTCAGTCAGCAAGAATACTAAAAGTTGGATTTCTGTACTGAAGAGGAAGTATGTACATGAAAAAAATCAACAATAACAACAACTGATAAACTGTCTACAACTAAACAAAATAATAAAGGCTAAGAATAGAAAAAATAGAATCGAGTATAAAAGCTATAGTTCTACATAAATTTGAACAACAACAACAAACAAATCTGTTATTTACTTGTATATACACAAGACTCCTTCAAATAAAAACTTTTATTTACATGTACTTAAAGTTGGAAGGAAAAGATTGAGTTAAGGTATATACAGAATGAGAAAAAGAATAAAAATACAGAAATGATGACAGAACATTAAAATGTTGATAAATTTACAATAAAACATCCCGACGAATGCAGGGAGGCAATAAAATTCTACATTACATGGCGAGTAAATAAAATCTAAATTAACCAAACAGAATCTCCTTAATGTGATGAGAATGGTACTCAAGGACAGACAACTCTCACGTTTCAGAAAACAGGGCAGGTATGTCACTTTATCGTTATTCCAGTGAGAGGTCCCTAGAAGTAAAATTACATGTACATTAGATAAATATTCATTAATATTTATTACATGAAAAATTCTTTTATAATGAATGATATTTAATTCTGTTCTTACTAAGTACATTAAAAATATATCAATTTTTTCCTTCAAATTACAAAATGCAGTTATTATTTTGAAAAATACACATAGAAAAATATTTTGAAGGGATGAAAAGAGAAATGTGATGAGACAAAACAATAAGACCACACCAGGACAAAGACACATACACACAAACCACCGGACAAAGTGGACACTCACTCCTGGGAAAACTCCATGTTGTCAGAATAATCAAACATCTCGCTGTCCTGGCCGATGCCGGAGTCACTATTATAAGGGGCGGACACACTACAATCAAACAACATACAGGGGCAGTCAGAAATGACCCAGCCAAGGGACCCACAGCAATCAATGGCAAGGGGCATATGTCCCAGTAGGAAAGGCATTACCTTCTGTTTCAGAGTTTTTTTCCTTTTACAGAATGTGATTTTTCCAGGGAACGCATCTTTGCTAGCCAAGGGTTTCTGATACGCTACTCTCCTCATGAACCCTTGGCATACGGTGAAGTCAAAAGACGGGATTGTTTTCCGTCACGTGATCTCGAACGGTACGCACAGATTGCGTCATCAACAGAAATAAAGACACGTGTTTAAAAAAAATTAAATCAAAGTTTCTTTCAAGAATAATTAAGAAGCAATAATTGAGTTATGTTTATTATTTATAGTACAAATCTAAAGCTTCAATATAGATTCTTTAACACATATTTAGAAGATACTGGATGACACCATAGCTATTCATAGAATTGCATGGTATTTTATTTTTTTCATTTCAATTAAAGAGTTATCCCGAATGCAAATATCGTCATTTACAAAAAACAATTGCTGATTGGTCGACCGGGTGTGCCGAATCCCAATCAGAACTCGAGAAAAAAATCCCAATTTCTATCAACACCGTATGCCAAGGGTTCATGAGGAGAGTAGCGTATCAGAAACCCTTGGCTAGCAAAGATGCAGGGAACGTGGAAATACATGTAATTCCAATTAACAAATGTTTGGGTTGTGCATGTATTTAATTTTATTTTTTTCAAAAAAGTTGGAATTCTATCATTAAGAAAGGCATTTAAGAAAGAAAATATGTGTTGCCACAGTTGCATAATTTTTTAAAGTACATGTAATTGCCCTGTGAGATTTTACACATCCTTAAAATTACCCCCAGAATTATGGATATGAGAATCAAGAAAATGTGTATAGAAAACTAAAAATCAAAAGGTATGAGAAAATACATTTAAGAAAAATGGTGTTTTGTAACTGTCCGCAGAGAGAGAGGGATAAACAGACAAAGCTATAGAAAAGCTGAGCTGTTTCCAGAACCACCTGCAATTTAATGACACCAAACAAAACAAGCCACCCAGTCATGGCAAAAATCAAACTGCCAGCTTGTGGAAATAAATGTCAATGAAACAATAAAAATCATGATGTACAGATATTATTTTAATATATTTATCTGACAACAGTTTAAGTGCACAGCAATATGTACATAAATATTACAACACCAACTGAAAACTCTAGTCAATTTAGTAGATTAATTCCACATAGTGACATACCTGTATGCCCTGCAGGTGAAGAAAACAATTCTCTTCAGCTTCTTGTTGTAGAAAAAGTAGTTAAATGACCAAATGCTGCCTTCTTCTCCAAAAGGGTCTGAGATCAGGTCAGGATTGTAGCTGTAGGAATGAATCATACAAGCATCTTAAATCTAGGTAATATTAATATTATATTAAAAGTATGCATTTATTCTTTTATTGTATTATGTGTGTCTTGTATTAAAATACCCCACTTCTGGTGCTAGATTAAAAAGTTGATTAAAATTTTAATAATTTGTGTGTAAACAATAATTAACAAGTTACCTGTGAGTATTATTTACCTGTAGATTTCACAATCCTGGAGATTGATTTCCTCGTCAATTGCTGCCCATAAAGTTTGTTTCAATCCAGCGAACAAATCTCCAGCAGCGGCGTTCAGCTCTGTGTCTACTGTGTTCACAACCCACTACAATAACAAAACAACATTATATATAAACTATAAAAAAATCAATGCTTAACATTACATAATGATTTCACTGCTGCATCTCATCGGAAAGATACAATTTTGTGCAAATATTTACTGTTGTGTACATGTACTTAATAAACAATGACATCACTGAACATTATCAACATATAACATGAATTTTTCAACCAGTTTTTTTTTCAAATTTGAAAAGCAGTCTTTTTCATCCATTTTGGGAAAAATGGCCACATTTCTTGTGTATCTGGACATCTCTGATTTGGGATTATGAGAGATCATATTGACCACTTACTTCAATGCTTGGCTCCTTGCTAAACTCCTCACTTTTGGCATTGCTGAAGTCATAGTCTGGATTGAAGGAGGCATTCAGGGTAGAAATCAGGTAGAACAGTGTTTTGGTGGGAATGGTGTCACACAGATACCCCTCACTCTCCACGGAACCAAAACTCTTACTGTACGGCCTACAAAACAGTGTCCATAATATATTACACCAGCTCTCATGTAACTAAGTAAATTATATAATCTATATATAAAATAAGGTCATTCTGCTAATTTGATGCAGTTACAGATTTATCTTATTAAGTTCTATCCTGTTTCTGTATTAGATCTGGACAACTGCCATCTATGTCAATATCTAGATGCACATGGTGTGTCCTTATATGTGTTTACTTATTAATGAGAATTTAGGTTTACTTGGTTGGGCTGTGGGACAGGACTGTTTGGGGAGGGGATAGAGCCTGGAGGTCCAGCGGTCCCACACCCCCCTCCTGACTGATCAGCTTAAAAAGCTTCTTGTCATTCCCGGCCATCTTGCAAGAGTAACTCTCAATTCTGAAAAAAAAATAAATATTAACATATTAATGGGGTATTAAAAAGACAAATTAAATAAACTACTATCCTAGAAATTAGAATCAACATCCATGTAACATTATCATTGATGGTGCTTTTAAATAATTTCTAAGATCACTGTATTTTTATTGTACGTGTATAAACAATGATAAATAAGCCTGTGTTTGAGCATATTTTTTTTTTCCACAATGAACTAACTATAATAAAACACAGTCACATCAAAGAAGTCATCATCTCATTGACTCAAGCACTTCTTTTGTAGAGGTTTCATTATTAACTTTTTTATTTTAAATGATAGGTATTCAGGGGTAGAAACTCTACAGAATTGCAACTTGCAAATAATTGCGAGTACAAAAAAAGAACAAGCAAATTTCACTAGGGGAAAGTGTTGCTATTTCGGACGGGGGTGTTATTTCGGACAGTCAATAAAGAGCTTTATCACTTTTTCTCTTGTGTTATTTATTATGATATTAAAACTTACTTCTGTAGATAATACATTTACAAAATGGTTTACAAAAAAATCTTTGCGTGTGTCAGCTCAGGTGCGACTTGTTGCCATAAATAAATGACCTTCACCGACTGTGCTGTGGATGACGCTAATATCCGTCTACTTTCAGTTTGACAGGCAAAATGGTGCACGGTTGAGATAATTGGTTTTCTGCTAAAATTTACTTCTAAAAAATTATAAATGTGAATAAATTCCATTTAAATAATTATTTTCTTCAATATTTCATAAAGAATTATCTTGTAAATGGAAATAATTAACCGAAATTGAGGTGTCCGGAATTACAACACCTCTCTGAGAGACAGAAAACGTGACTAAAATTTGACCCATTACTGGCTTTAGACCTTTCATATATTTCGATAAACTTGCATTACTGACCATAACTTAGTTTTTTTTTTTTAATTTAAAAATATTTAAAACGAACTTTTAAAATGGTTGTGTTATTTCTTTTTCTTCATTTTTTTTTAAAAAGTGGGGAGTGGGGGGGGGGGGGGGGTGTGTTAAAGAGAGAGAGAAAGAGAGGGAAGATCGAATCTAAATCTGCCAGTGTAACATACCTGTACAGGTGTTCAGTGCTTAATATTTTAAAAGCCTTCTACTTACAAAGTTCACATAAATATAAATAAATGAAATTTACGTACCCCCTTTAATTATGCCATTCAATTTATTGTTTAAAAAAAATAAACAAACATGCAATGTAATGTAATTAAGATGTTCATTTGAAATGGGTTTCTCAGACACTATACATTTCTTAACGTATTACAGTTCTACAAAAATAAAAATGCCACCCCCAAATTAAATTTGAAAAAAAGCCGTCTGGAATTAAATATAAATTGAAAACGTACTTCGACCCATGGTTATACATGTTTGAATTTAACTGACCACAAGGTTCTGTAGATGTTATATACACTGTACTTGGTAGGGCTAGTCTACCTGGCAAAAGATATTCAGATGGGTTTTTTCTTTTGAAAACACCTCATTATCATTTTTTATTCCCCGATGTCAAGCAATATCTGACATTGAGAAAATATATACATATTTAGCATCTGAAGCGTGATTTATATCCTTCTTTTAAATGTCTTTTTTTTTTTTTCATTTTAAAACCCTAGAATTTTTTTTACCAGACTACGATATACTTAGTCTACTAGTCTTTGATGTAAAAAAAAAAATCAGTGTTCATATCGTTTTTTTTTATATAAATTTATTTTGGTTAAATAAAAAATCAACTGAAAGAAAAAAATTAAAAGAAAAACCCAAGAAACAAATGTGAAGAAAGTAATAAATGAAATAATTTTATTATATATCTGCATATCATATATGTGTTTGCTACACATATTTATCCTACATATTGTTCACGCTACTTATAATTTTTGCGGCAAATACAATTTTTTCTACTGAAAAGTGTTTATATTTTATTTCATACATCCCGACAAAAGCTAGTCAAAGTTCCCTGCTGTAATTAGCACGACCATCGTGTAATCTGTGCGACACAGCAGCAAGCATACCTTTTTTACCCACTGTCCGACATTGTAACACCCTGTGTCCGAAGTTACAACACCACTGTCCGAAGTTACAACCTCCTACCTGGTGCTGTTTAAATGCGTTTACTAATGATATTATCTCACGAAAAGAGCCGATGTACCACGAAAATAAGTAGCGGAAGGTTTTCTGCATCGAACGGTGTATAGCATGCCTATATTTAGCGGTAAATGCCAAGTATTTCCAAAAAAGCATTCTGAAGTGTCCGAAATATCAACACTTTCCCCTAGACTTCTTGCAATTTTCATATAAAAAAGGCTTTGTATATTTAGATAAATGGACTCTCAAGTTTTTTCGAGTTCACAAATTTCAAACTCGCAATTTGGATATTCTAAATTGGATTTTGCAAGTTGTATACAGTAAATTTTGAACGCTGGGTTTGCCTATCATAATGGGTAACCTTGTCCTTCTAAACAACCTACATTTCACTGAACACAGTCATGACAGTGAAACTTGGGTTGGGACATTGTAGGTTTACTAAATCTCCAAATCACTCAGTCTTATAGCTATGTCATACCTTCCTTCTATCCTGGAAGTCTCTAGCTGCATATTAAGAGCACTGTTGATTTGTTCAAATCTTGAATTTTCCAAGAGCTTCATTTTAAATATCGAGTGTCACAAAAAATAAAGAACTGTCAAAGGTAAACAAAGGGAAAGAACAAATTAAAACAAGGATAAAGAACGACTCGGAAGTCTAAAGTTTTTCAGAAAACTTTTAGGGTGTGAATAAAAAGAAATCCTCTTCAGTGAGTCTCTTTTGCTTGATGAGAAATTTTCAACTTTCATTGCATCAAAATCACAGAATGCTATATCCTCCATTGATGGCTGAATTATCGATAATCAAAATTAAAACGCGCAAATCACACGATCAAACAGTGATAATAATGCTGGAAGTTCTTTCTTTTTCCAACAAACCACAATGTCTGACTCACTAAAACAGAATTCAATCTCGAAAATCTACGTTTTGATCCACTCTCCTTCTTCCTTGAAAAATTATTTGTAAACTTGACCTACAAAAAAATGCACCCACAATGCAATGCGTTGATTTATATAATCCGTTTCTAAAAAGCGAAAGCTGACTTTTAACTCTGACGCATGCTTCGACGTGTTTTCCTAATTAGTAAGAATGTATAAAGATTAAATCAACAGATTTATTTTGTTGTTAACACATTTTTAACATACTTTTTACGCTAATTAAATCCTAACAGCCCGGTGTTTCATAACCATGATAACAGCCCAGTAAACAAGAGTAATATTTACCCTTGGGCTAGAAAAGTACATATTAATTTTTTACTTTTCTGCAATCATATGTTTATCATGTTCATGTCTGGGATGACAAAACTAATGACAATACAAAAAATAATATTGTAGAATGTTTTTTTTTTATCGCTACTATTCTCCTGCTAAAACATTTTATAGTTCAGTTGTAAATACATGTAGGTAAATCCGTAATCATGGTAACGAAAACTAATTAATCAGGACTTCGCTTCAATATCTCTGTTCTGAATTGTTGGTTTTCAAAGCATTTTTTGAGGGACTTAAGCAATTAGACTGGGGGAGGAGGGATGTATAGGCCACGTACAATACTAGGTCAAAGCACTACAGAGACCCTTATACTAATATATTACTGCCAGTATATATCTATGATATATAGTATATATGTCTCTGTAGTGCTTTGGTATTGTATTTTTTTATTGATCAATGAAAAATGCACAATTACTAAACGTTGGTAAATTCAGTTCTTTGTATATGCTGTCCTCCTTGACATATTTCATTTACTGATGAAATCTGCAACATGACTAGTTTTAAGAAAAAGCAGGTTATAGAGGGAGAATAATCATGTGTACCTTTTAAGATATAAAGTAGAAAAAAAAATCAACCATTGCCAATTTTAACTGACAGTTAAACACAGATCGAGTTCTTATACACAGACATGGGTTTTAGTATTTTCTATTAGAAAGTTGACGATCAACGTCTTAATTGTTTTTAGAAATAATTGAATCTGCAATTTGCAATTCCCTCCCAATAATACTACAAACATTACTTACTAGTATTTGGTTCTATTCTTATGCTGCAAAACTGTTTTAGGTTCATTTATCTACTAATATTAATAAATATATGAGACACAACATTGCCCGTATGGCAGATAATATGGAGGGTTGAAATTTCTCAAATGTTAGTCAAACTTCATGGTCAAGGTCAAAAGATTAAAAAAAAAATGTTGGTTTCCAATGGAAGGTCTTATATCATGCACGAATAAACTCGTGAAATATGAAAGCCCTAGTACTATCTGTTCAAAATTTATGGACAAGGATATACATGTATATATATATTTTTTGAAAATGGGTCAGACACTAAGGTCAAGGTCTAAAAGTAAAAAAAAAAATCTCCATGAAAAGGTCTTATATCACAATGAATATACAGAATAGAATAGAATACGAAGGAAGAAAGCAAAAGTATCAACATGTTCAAAAATTATGGCCAAGGTTAAAGTTTCGTAATTTTTTGCAAAAGTTGGTCAAACTACAAGGCCAGGGTCAAGAGGTCATATTTGTTGGTACCCGAAGAAAGGTCGATCTTGTCTCAAACCGGATATGAAAGCCATAACCCCAAACACTCTTGAAAGTTTTGGGCAAGATGATTATTGTTTTTGCAGACAAACAAACCAACAGTTTGACAGACAGATGGACAGACGGACATATACCTTGCAAAAACGAGAGCATAAAGCTAGTGAGTGAACAGAGGATCCCCAAACCTGCACTGGGGAAATCATTATCAAATCAAGATATAGACTATAGAAGGCAATTCTATGACACCTAATTTATCTCCAAACATTGAAGAGTTCAGCTGGAGGAGCAAAGACGTGACAAGAATCAAATAAATTTTCCTGGTGTGGATAATGGCCTTGACTTAAAGGTTTGTATGCCGTATTTATCTGTATAAGTAATAACTATACCATTACAAATTGCTGGCTAACATTATAGCAGTATGTCGTCATACTTGTACGGTAATTACCATACCACCTATGACTCACTGAATCCGAATTTTCTTGTCTCATTTTTAATATTTTTAGTTGTCATAAGTTATTGGATTTTTCATTCCAGATCTTTTAAGACTTTTAAGAGTAATGAAAAATGTAAAGTTTCTGTCTTCAGATTATGTTAAAGAATGAACTTTGTACCTACTTCCAAGAAGTAAACAGTGTTACTGTTAATATGAACTAGAGGTACTGTGAGCAATGAGCTCACTAAATGATACCCCCGCCTCCCATATATGAATATAATGGCAGTGTCCATGTTTTGCTCTGGAAAATCCAAAATATATGTCAGATCAAAAAGTAAAATAGGAGGTGCACAATGGCAATATGTAATAAAGATTCTCTGAAAGTTTTATTAAATTTCCTTCAGCAGTATGAGAGGAGTTGTGGATAAGAGATGGGTACCCCAAAGTGTAACAGATGGACGGACAAACGGACGGACATACCGATTACTATATACCCTTCCGCTTTTCAAGCTGGGGGTATAATAATAATTTTAAAGTAATGACAGCTTTCCAACTATCCATCAATAAAAAAAACCCCAAATGGTAATTATTCCTCAGGGTTCTACAGTTTTGATCCATGTTCCATAAAATGATGGTATTGTTATATGCTACTCCCACTGGGGGATTTAAAGGGGGGGGGGGCAGGGGGCCACCCCCACCCTTTGTGTCCAAAAAATACACAAAATTTGATGAATCAATGGTTTTTATGGTGTGGCTGAGAACCCCTACCCTCACCCAAACTGGTCCATCCCTTTCTAGATTTCGGGATCCACTACTGACACCATATTGTCACAGTGCATAGGAATATCAAGACTGTCCACTTCTATAAAGAGAAAAGCTACACCAATACCAGGATTCAGAATGAGATAAACTTCATCACCTTCCCAATTTAAGACCTTTTGATTGAATTTTGTAAAAAAAAAAAAAAATTATTACATTATTATAACAGTTGGGGGAAAATGTCAGTCATATTGGGATTGAACCTGGGACCTGCTTCTAACTGTGCGGATACTCTAACTGACTGAGCTACAGGACTTACACACCCTATCCCTGTTACACTCTTCCCCTTTTTCTCGAGGTTTTCTGTCTTGAAAAGCTCACCGAGTCTTTTCTAAACCACCAGTGAGCTTTATTGTTGGGCGCCAAATATAAAAGGTGGGGGAAAATGTTGGCCAGGGACTCGAACCTGGGACCTCTTGTTAACTATGCAGGATCTCTGTTAGAGATTCTTTAACCACTGAGATACTGGGCTTGTGTGCCCTTTCCCCATTAAACAATGAAGTGCATAGAAGCTTTGGGATTGCTAGTTTGTTTCATATGCATGTAGAGTAAGGTAACAAATTGTGTCCAATTTGTTCTTTGTTGTAAGGTGGAGCTTCATCTATCCCCCTACAAAATCAACTTGTATCAATAACCCCCCCCCCCCCCCCACCCCACACACACACACAAAATCAGCTTGTATCAATTTGCCAATAAAAATGGCTTTGAAAAGTAAGTAGCAGTGATAAAAATTTTGAAAAACATGTACATGTTAACATTCAAGCCTCGATGGGACTGATGAAGAACTTTAAGATATCTTAGTATGGGAGATACCAACAATACCATGGGTAAAATACTTCAAGAGGAATTCTTGTCTACTTTCTGACTAGATGTAATATTAAAAGTATATTTGCTTATGTGTCTTATGTATTTAGATGTAAAAGATTAAAGATTTAAAGATCTTATTTTTCTTTCCTTCTCATAATTATACCATTTTGTTTGAACAGGAATGATAAACTGAGTTTGAAATCTAGCATGGGCTATATTTTTTTCCAATTTTGCAGAATTGCAGTTTGTGAAAATAACTCCTTTTTCTGTTTCTTAAAATTACTGCAGAACATTTAATCTTTTGTAATAGAAGAAGGCATCACACGATTGACGGCAGTTATTTTTTTTTATTCTTAATGTTGAGGAAAAATATAAGGATCTTGACCTGACCTTGCTTCTAAATTAAAATATTCAACTTTAATCTAATCAATGGATAAGCTTTGGAAGCTCTTACTTGATACAGTAATTGTTTGTGACCCATGGGTGTGCCCTGACCCTGAACCAAACTGATTCAAGGTCACAAAAAAGGTATAAAATTCTATTTTTCTTAGCAACCTAGAACTTTTTGATGATCCTGAGGCCTAAGGTCATTTCACCAAGTTTAAAGTTACTAAAAACAAATGTAAAATATTTGAAATTCATGACAGGTCTAACATTTTCCAAAGAAGAAACATTGGATGTCAGTATTTCATCTAAAGATTACTTATGGTCAGAGGATTTGTCTTTTTTTTTTTAAAAATCAAGATCGTTCTGGCAACTATAAGGTCACATTCGCAAAATTTGAATGAGCACTTTAAAAAATTATTATGATAGCTTGCTCACAGTACATTTAGTATAATTGGAATTTAAAGGTAAGTATGGTTGATTTTTTTTTTTTTCGTAAGCAAATTCTTGTGAAATAGAGAAGACATAATATTTTCCTCAAAAAAGAAAAGCCACGTTATTTTATCAAGATAGTTTCTTACATTGAAGTTTATTCAACTCAGTGGTTTTTGCTATATATGGATGATCATTGGGTAAAATTTTTATACTTTAAGATGACAAAGTTAAGACAGAAAACATGTATAATGTAACTTTTGATCTCTTGCCAAGGTTGTAAAATAAATCTAGACCACATATATGATTTTTTGTTTACATAAAAGTTTTATGTTAATTTTTCAAAGGACAGAATTTTTCAATTATGTATATATTTACATGTATGGTTTATTTATATATACACTAAGTATTTAAATTGAGTGTTGGCTATTTTGATCCAGGAAGTTAAAATGCCGTTTACTTTTTAATGCTCTATGAGAAGGCTGTAAAGAGTCAGTTATTAAAACGACAGGATGATGAGATGATTTTGATTGAGCTCTTTCTTGGCTTTAAATGGAAAATCCAATACCTGTTTTACTAAATGCGTCAACAGGTAGTGTGACTACTCGTGAGGCATGTCTTGATTAAGAAATACACGTATCATGGAGCAATCACCAGCTGAACAGGTGGATACCCACCTGAGTCTTGGACAGCTAAGTGGTAGAGAGATTCTTTGTGTGACTACCTGTGAGATTTATGTTCCTCTCCCCGAGGTGAATCAGGTGGGGCAGGGGACACTGGAGAAGGTCAGAAAGGGGGACAAGCTTCTCCACCCACACGGAGGTCTGTGTGACTTGTACCTCCTGACTTCTCCTCAAGATTCCAACATAAAATCTCTAGCTATGGACTTCTATAGTTCTGAGCAATCGGTACTCTCCCGAAAAAAGGATGCTATTATAAATGTTTTTTGCAAGGATTATTTTTAGCAAAAATTTTCTTCATGAACAATTTTTTTTCCAGATTAAACTGTCTATCACATTGAACAACATTACTAAAGATACTCTAAGGGTGTTTATCAGAAGCGACTCATGGTTTGAGTTCTGGAGTCACCTTGGCAACCGGAATCACAATACAACCATTAAGTTGTGCCAGGATGATGAACACTGGAAAGATTTCTCTTCTCTTCTAAAGGAACGGGTCAGCTTCCTTAAAGAGTGTTTCAGAACCAAGGGAAATCCTAATCAAGGTGTGTATCGCAAACTCAGGTACATTTCATTGAAGCAGGTCCATCATGTAAAAACACAAAAATATATAGTACAAAAAATTAACAGTTATATTTGTATTTATATTCAGACAAGATAAGTAAAAATTAATTCTAGAATTTTCTAAGTTTAGTTGGATTGCTTGAATTGCAGAGCATATGTACTACAGGTAATGTTAGGTTACAAAACAAAGACCACCTTATTGTAGTTTGACAAACAGAAGAATGATGCATGTAATAAATTCCATGATATTATATAGTCCTTGGCTTATGTGTACTTGGTCACTGAAGTTAAGTGCATTGAACAGCCTTGTAAATAACATTTTGAATGAAGAAGAGATTTATTAGAGATTCCATGCTTTTAAGAACTGGGAAGTTAATCAAAAATTTAGAATTATGATGTTTTCTTTTGTAGTGTTTGAACTTGTTGCATTTCAGTCTAAGAGGACTGCAAGCACCAAATCTAAGCAAGAGTCTAATAAAAGTGAACCACCAAAAGAAAAAATACAGGGCACAGATACATCAGAATTGGAGGAAAAGGGTGTTATATATAGATTTCAGAAACAGTCCGACAGTGATTTATATCAGAAAGACAAGGAAGATAAAATTCTTCATAGAACACAGTCCCAGGGGGAAATCCCTGAGAAGGATAGTTCTAATATTTCACCTCCAAATACTCAAGGAGTTCTAGTCTCTCGTCCAGTAAAGAGAAGTGAGTCAGAAACTGATGTGTTTGAACCTCCGTTTTCTCCTGCCAATTTTAAATTAATAGACACTAAATCAAAATTATTTGGCAATCTTCTCCTGCAAGAAAATAAAATAGAATCCAAGAGCAATGATTTAGAATCAACAGTAAAACCAAACAGCGTTGAAGCTGCCAAATATTTGAGTGTTTTTCAGCCTCAGCATGTGCCTTCTCCTCAGTCTTTGAAGGCTGAGATAGAAAGAGATTCCAGTATTTATGAAAGTGAAAGTGGTGATTATGAAGACATGATGGACCAAGAGAAAGCCATTCAGAGACTAGTAGAGTTGCTGCAGGCAGCCATTAATTCAAATGATAAAGAGGCTGCAGCAAAGCATGCTGGGAGTTTAGCAGTCAGTGCTGCCAAGGTGACCATTACATTAGATAGCAGTAGTCTGAAGAACCCTAAAGACAAAGAATTCAGGTAACTAGGCAGATTTCTAAGGGCACACTGTAGTACATCCAAAATCATGCTAATGATATAAATTTAAAATGTGCATTCTTGTGGAAAAAGGAATTTTTCTATTAACTTGATTAAGGAGACTTGTATATAAAAAAGGCAATGTAATTCAATGCAATTTTAGTTGTTTTTTTTTTTTATATTTCTGTAAAATTCTTTTGCAATTGCTACTGTCGACATTAAAATCATCTTGTTTGTTAAATTCCTTCCTGACTAATGAATTTGAATTACAATTGAGCTACAGGACAGAAAGGCAATCAAAACATGCACCTTTAGTTGCTATGATGTAAAATAGTTCTAATATTCTGAATTCGGGAACCTATTCTGTATATTAAGTTAAACTATGTTCTGTGAAAAGATGGTTTGATCGATTGTTTCTCAACATCCTCCTATCCAGAGGGTCCACTGAGTTAAAAGAGAAAAAATTTTACAGTAAAATTTGTCTTATCTGGTCACCAGTGGTTTTAAAGAAAATATTTCACGTACATGCAGTTATTGATAGTGGTAACCTTAACATGGTTGACTGTACTGAGATGTGTGCATGCTTCATTTTACAGCATTAAAGTGTACGTAGAAGACAGGGAAGCCTCGGGAGGATGTATAACTCTGAATGTCAAACCCTCAGACACAGTCAAGGACCTCAAGCTCAGGGTTCGTATTACAAGATTCACTTATGTACTGTTCTTCATTTATTAAACAATTCAAAAACTTTATAGGTACACTTAAAAAGTCCTTCTCTTTAGCATTTTTTGTTTAAATTTAGGTTTAAAGAACACATACGAAATTGTATTTTTTTTGCATAAAATGCAAATGTGTTTGAATTATGATGAATAGTTATTAATTTTTCTTTTTTTTGCAAATTCACAGCTGTAGGATACATTGAAATTATTATTAATTTTTTTTACTGTGAACAGATGTGTTTGAAGCACAGTTTTCCAATGGAGGTCCAGAAGTGGATCATAGGGAAGCGTATCCCCCCCGACACTGAGACCCTCCAGAAGGCTCGAGTGAGTCAAGGTCAGGCAGTCTATTTATATCTCATCTCACCCAAATCTGTGGGACTGACCAAGGAGAAATTTATGGAGGACCGACAAAAAATGCTTCATAACCAGCGTGAGTCTTGTTTTGTACAGAACCACGAATATAGTCATGTTTATGTGTACATTAATGTGAGTTATCAAGGTATTTTTACAGTATCCTGTAAACCAACTATCCTTTGCATAATCTTTTATTTGCAGCTCATTAATTTGGGATCAATCTTTCATGATAAATTGTAAGGACTGAGGAAGTGTTCTCTTCAAATACAAAGTAAACTCAATACAGTGTAGTTTGTGATGTTTAATATTCCTGAGTCAAAGTAGGTCGTGAAAACTGACGGATATTTCTCGCATGCAAATAAAAGATGATTTACAGTATTTTGCAAATAGTTGACTGAAGAATTATCTTACTTTTTCTGATTTCATTGACAAATTTTCAATGCTCGTAGCATAAATGTACATGTATGTGGCAAGTTTTTAATTTTTTTTGTTTTTTCAGCTCCAAATGTTCAGTATCAAAAGCAGGGACCCACAAACTTTGCTGAGAGTGGATGTAAGAATACATATATAGAATATTAGATATTTTATCCTTGGATATGAATATTTTTCGGGAATGAGACAAGATTTGTAAATTATTCGTAAGTGCAAAAAACATAGTTTCAAAAATAAAATAAATTCCCTATCCAACTGTAAAATATCTTTTTATTTCATTTTTTTTTTACTTTCCTTTAAGTATTACAGTTGAGAGATGCTATAGCTAAGCTGTTGCTAGATTGAACATTTTAAAATTAAAACAGATATTAAAAACAATTCTGAGAACTTTGGCAATTTTAGACCATGTGAGAATTGTTATTTACTGCTGTGAAGTGCTGTCTTAAAACGAAGTATTTTCTTTCTAGCAGTCTTAATTACAAAATCTCAAGTATTTATTTGGGCCTCTTTTCATGTTTCAAGTGCCCAATAGTATTCTCTGGTCTATCTGTGAAAACTTTATATGACCATACAGGTTTATATTATTACATGGTTAAAAGACAGAGGAAGATAACCATAGATTTTTTTTTTAAAAAGTCACTTGTTGAAATGGTAAAAGCTTGTAATCAATTACATGTATATGACCAATATTGACCATTGTGATGCAATAAGTGAAGCATTTTGAAATTATACAGATAAAACCATATTAAGGGATCCTGTATGAATGTCTTAATTCTTTAATTATATATGTAAGACTCCAAAGTCCGATGGTGACGCCAAAGTCCGATGGTCTCGCCAAACCCCGATGGTCTGTGCCAAATCCCGATGGTTTGTTGTCGGTACGGACGCCAAAGTCCGATGGCTTGTTTCCTATGAGACACGTTGCGCTAAAGTGCGATGGTCTGACATGCCAAAGTCCGATGGTGTGGAGAAACAATTAACGTTTATGACGTCACAATAATTGGAAGTCATTCACTGATGCCGTTGTCCTGCATTCAAAAGCCAAATTTTCTGAATTGGTCCTCGCATACAATTTTACTGATTTTGCTTATTACTTGCACCTTCCAAAGATATTAAGGTTAGTTCTTGCACACCACTCGACTGATTAGGGATAGTCTTTGCTTCGCACTATCCCAAGAGATTAAGGGTTAGCCTTCGCACACTAGTCGAGTGATTAAGTTTAGTCTTGCATCCACCCAAGATATCTAGGTTATAGTTGTTACACACTTTTTGAACGATTAGGATTAGTTTTGCGTGTATCTGAGAGATTAGGGTTAGTTTTCACATAATGATACTTATTTATTTAAAACCTTGGCCTGGCACGGCGTTGAGGTTTGGCGCAGTAGTACTATGACGTCATAAACGTTAATTGTTTTCCACAAAATCGGATTTTGGCGTGTCAAACCATCGGGGATTGGCGTGTCAGACCATCGGACTTTGGCGTGACCATCGGACTTTGGAGTCCCATCACACTTTGGAGTCCTTTTTATCTAAGTTAAAATTGCCCCTAATGCAAAAAACAAAAACAAAATCAAAGTTTCATAACCCCCAATGTAAAAAAAAAGTTTGTTTTATGTACAGCTTACATTCCAATGGGTACCCCTGTGACTCCTCAGACCCCCCACAGTGCCCTACCCCCCTCCGGACAGAGATCTGAGCCTTACAGCAGCAGTTCTACAGGGGGAGGCCTGACCCCCAACCCTTGCCAGCAGGGTCAGATACAGCAGCAGAAGTCCAGGGATGGTGCCGGTAAACCGAAGGCCTCTCCCCAGGTCATCAGGGAGGGGTCAGTAGAGGGGTTTGAAGTGATTCCACCCACAGCTGTCCTGAGGGGAATCCCCCAACCTCAAAACAAACAGGAGACCAAAATTCAGGTAATTCCAGTATCAAGCACTAGGAAAGACATTCACTAAATAATATTTTCATATTGTTTAATATGGCTGTACGTTTAAAAATAAATACCGAATAATTCATTGTACTGATCATGGCTTTTCATTTTGTTTTGGAAAATCAAGCTCAATTTTGAGTGAGGCATTTTCTTCAACTGGACTAAATATTTCCCAGTGTTTTTCTTTAAGTATTACTTCCAAATATGTTTAGGAAGCATATATTACAAAACATTCCTTCGATAACTTAGGTTTCATTATGAATTGAATTTTATAAACAAATGCTAAAAGAAAATAAAGTCAGTTCAATTTATCAAATTTTGAGGTCTTTGAAAGTTCATCATAAAAGATGTAAATATCATTATATTTAACCACAACGGGACTCAAAATCAGTTCGCTATATCCGTAAATTTGTTATATCAGAGTTCATTATAACCGTAAAAATGATTTGTAAAGAATTGTGCCGGGGACCCAGAAAAACTTCGCTATATCTGTGAATTCATTATATCTGTGTTCGTACTAAACAAGTTTTACTGTAGTGTATTTTATAATGAATGAAAAGGCTCATGCATTTATGCAGTCAACAAGTTTAAAGAACTTCTTGCTGCTTTGAATTATATGTGTACATAACTATTTGTCATAACCATTTTTTTCCTTTCTAAATTAGGCTGGCTGGGTTTGCCCTGCCTGTACTTATATTAACCAGCCAACACGGCCAGGTTGTGAGATTTGTGCCACAAACCGACCACTGGACTATCAAGTGCCTGAAGGATACAGAATGACCAAAGAAGAGGAGGAGAGGATCCAGAGGGAGCGTGAGCAGGAAGAACAAACTCAAAGGGTAGGTTTTAAAGAAAGGGTGTAATTATATACAGGGTAGTTAAACTCATGAATTCTTAATTCAGGTACATTGTATATGTTACAAGATTATCTTTAATGCATGAATTATATTCAGATGTTTATCTGGCACAGCCCGTAACACAGAATACATACAAATGCAGACTGACACATCACATAGATGATCTGTATTTTTTGTAATTTGCTGAAAATACATGAAATTATTAAAGGAATTGGCCCATTTTTTTCTGTGTCATTTCTGCATCATGCAGTAATTATACACCTTGTTCAGGCTTTTCTCTTTGACACTTTTCCAGGCCAGCGTGAACAGAGGTCAGGAGAGGGGTCCAAGAGAAAATACTGACGAGGAGTATTATGGTGACCTTGGGGAGCGAGACCTGGCAGCCATCTTGGAATTGAATGAAAACTTAAACAGGGCCAGAATTAGGTCCCCTACAGAGAATGCCCTCACCCCACCCCATGGGCCACCCCCTGACCCTCATTTGATGGACCTTGGAAATGTCCATAGAGGATCAATGGACAATTTACAGTTTCCTCTGGACAATAGACATATAGACTGGAATGAAGAACATATATAAAATAATATACATGTCTAGGATGGAGGGGGAATATGAAGAAATTAATTTCATATTTCAGTATCAGTCATTTGAATTGCAGTTTGAATGAAATCATTAACACAAAGTTACAATTATACAAGTATTCACATGTATGTTCTTTGTTTTATGAATTATGTAATTATGTACTAGTATCTTCAAAAATGTTTTTGTCAAAGCAAAGATCTACAAGGGAACAATAAAATCTTATTCTATGTAAGTGTCATATTTTTGAAAATAGAAATACCATAAGAGAAAATATACCTAGGGAATTGAAACCCATGTACAGTATACCACCTATCCAAAAAGAGTTGAATTTCAACAGATACCGGTAACTGTTAACAAGTATTTCCACTGATTCAGAATCTAAAAGATGGTAAGACATTTATTTGGTGGAATGTCACATATTGAAGAGGATGTTCTGTACATTAGATCCATATAGAAAACAAGATGTGTTTGTGAAACACTGATGCACCCATTAGGCAGCTTATGCTGAGGTTTGAATCTTCTCTGTAAAATATGAAAGGCAGTCCTAGTTCTAACTGTTCAAAAGTTGTGGCCAAAATTAAAGTTTTTAAAAAGTAGGTCAAACTCTAATGTCAAGTTCAAAATATTTATACCCACTGAAAGGCCTTGTCACAATGAATATACATTAGAAGTATGAAAGCCCTTGCTCCAGCTGTTTAAAAGTTATGACCAAGATTAAAGTGTGGTATTTTTTGTAAAAGAATGTCAGACTCCAAGGTCAAGAGGTCAAATTTGGTGGTACCCAAAGCAAGGTGTTGTAACAAGGAAAAATACCTGTGAAATATAGCCCACTCACTTAAAAGTTGTGGGCAAGGTTAAAGTATTTGCAGACAAGCAAACAGCTAGACAGACATGGACAGACAGACAGGGCAAAAACTACCGGTATATAAAAACTACATGTATAACAAGTCCAATGACTGTTCTACTGTGCATGCAATGTACATGTATTATTTCTGATTTAACTGAAACAAATCCCACTCTCTTCCTTATAATCAAGTTTTACTGTAAATTCTTTGTTTTATTCCTGATTTAATTGAAACAAATCCCACTTTCTTCCTTATAATCAAGTTTTACTGTAAATTGTTTGTATTACATGTATTCCTGATTTACCTGAACAAGTCCCCATGTATTCTTTATAACCAGATTTTACTGTACATTGTACATACAGTATTATTTCTGATGTAGCTGGAACAGGAGCGAGAGGACCTGGAGAGGAGGCTCAGACAGGAGAATTTTGAGATTTTGATGAAAGCTGAGGACAGCAGTCTGATTGGTAACTCTCAATCCTTCCAGTGTCCCATCTGTTTTGATGACATCTCACCAGGAAATGGGGTCATTCTCAGGGAATGTCTTCACACATTCTGCAGGTAAAATACTCCTCACATTAGGTTTGAGAAACAGCAATTAAGTCCCACAATTTTTTCACTGACTAAGGAATAAATTTCTATATACCGGTTTTATAGATGGCACAGTCTTTGATCGTATATTTTGATGAGGTTTCAACAGGGAGATTTTTTAGTGTATTTTACGAGGTTTCTATTTTTGGTGATACAGGGATATTTTTTACCGTAATCTGACAAGGTTTCTATTTTTACAGGGACTGCCTACAGGGGGCGGTGGTACACAGTGAGGAGGCAGATCTCCGCTGTCCGTATCAGGATGACCACTACGCTTGTAATGCCTCCCTTCAGGATAGAGAAATTAAAGCGGTCAGTATATCTGTTAAAAAATTTACTTTATACAGTTACCTGTATAATTAAATTACCATTAAAATGATTGAATGCATTGCCTTATAGATCATAATAAACAAAAAAAAGGCTGTAAATAAATAAAACTCTAAAGCTTTGATGAGTAGTGTGTGGCTAAATGAAATGATGGAAATTACAATGTACACATTTCTATGCAATGACACTGTGAACATAAATATTTTTGTGTTATTGTCATTTGACCTTGACAGCTGGTGGAGGCCAGTGTGTACGAGAAGCACCTCCAGCGGAGCCTGGTGACGGCCGAGAGTCAGGAACAGAACAGTTTCCACTGTAAAACTAACGACTGTCCTGGCTGGTGTATCTACGAGGACCTCGTCAACTTCTTCAAGTGCCCGGTCTGTAACAAGGAGAACTGCCTGACCTGTAAGGCGATACATGAGGGCATGAACTGTAAGGAATACCAGGAGGACCTGAGGATCCGATCCTCCAACGACAAGGCCGCCAAGCAAACCAATAAAATGCTCAAGGTAACCACAGCACTCTGTCTTCTGTTTGTGATGTCATTCAATTCTTGGTAAATAATGCATTAAACAGTCCCCGGTTGTAGAAATAATAAAACATATTTTATAACATATGCTCATCATATATGGTGTATTTTCTAGGCCCTTTGTAAAAAAAGGTTAAAACTACAGTTTACCATGATTCTTTTTTAGGATCTGCTGAAGAAAGGAGATGCCATGAAGTGTCCTAAGTGTGAAGTGGTGGTACAGAAAAAGGATGGGTGTGACTGGATAAAATGCTCCATCTGTAAAACAGAAATCTGCTGGGTCACTAAGGGGCCAAGATGGGGACCTCTGGTAAACATCCTACGTTGTTATAGCATATTTAAAATTCTTTGTTAAAGTTTCAAACTTCTCTGATAATAGAATATAAAATTATTGAATCTGTTACAAAATACATGTGGAAATCTGTGGTAAATAAAAATTGTTTACTGTAGGGTGTGGGCGATATTAGTGGTGGATGCAGATGTCGAGTAGAAGGGAAGCCGTGCCATGAGAACTGTAACAATTGTCATTAGGCTTAAGTCAGTAGAAGGGAGGCCGTGCCATGAGAACTGTAACAATTGTCATTAGGCTTAAGTCAGTAGAAGGGAAGCTGTGCCATGAGAACTGTAACAATTGTCATTAGGCTTAAGTCAGTAGAAGGGAAGCCGTGCCATGAGAACTGTTACAATTGTCATTAGGCTTAAGTCAGTAGAAGGGAAGCTGTGCCATGAGAACTGTAACAATTGTCATTAGGCTTAAGTCAGTAGAAGGGAAGCCGTGCCATGAGAACTGTAACAATTGTCATTAGGCTTAAGTCAGTAGAAGAGAAGCTGTGCCATGAGAACTGTAACAACTGTCATTAAGCTTAAGTCAGTAGAAGGGAAGCTGTGCCATGAGAACTGTAACAACTGTCATTAAGCTTAAGTCAGTAGAAGGGAAGCTGTGCCATGAGAACTGTAACAATTGTCATTAGGCTTAAGTCAGTAGAAGGGAAGCTGTGCCATGAGAACTGTAACAACTGTCATTAAGCTTAAGTCAGTAGAAGGGAAGCTGTGCCATGAGAACTGTAACAACTGTCATTAAGCTTAAATCAGTAGAAGGGAAGCTGTGCCATGAGAACTGTAACAATTGTCATTAAGCTTAAATCAGTAGAAGGGAAGCCGTGCCATGAGAACTGTAACAATTGTCATTATAGGCTTAAGCCAGTAGAAGGGAAGCTGTGCCATGAGAACTGTAACAACTGTCATTAGGCAAAAGTCACTGGAAGGGAAAGCTTATTATTATATCAGCAATAACAGCCACCATTTAATAGCAATTCAGCAGCTGGAGATTTGCAAGTTCTGTTTGAAACAGCTTACTGAAAGATGGAGTCGGAGTATTATACATGTATGTCTATCTGGCTTCCAGTGCAAGCTTTTATATCATTTTCATATTTTAGAAAAATACAGGGCTTAATTTGTATTGAAACTGTACCTTGTTCTTTTGGAGGAGATGTTATAAAGATCCATCGTATTATCGGTACATTTCATGTTTTTAAAAAATGGCAATAGTTACAGAGCAATACATATATCACGTGGCAGCATCATGCATTATATAGCCAATGGCAGTCCATATATTTTTACTGAAGGTTTTGTAATATATCATTTTTTTTTTATATGTGCATTCTGGTACAGGTAGTGCTTCATCAATGACTTGTATTTTCAGGTATTAATGCCATCTGTTTCATTTTGCTAAAGAATTAAACAGTATACATACAATGAACAATGATTATAATCTAGGTATTGCTCACTCCATAAACAAGATGTCCTTACATTTTCTGTTAGGTCTACTGGTCGTAGGTTACAAATCTTTATGCATCAGTCTTGTGTCTAGTACTTTTGTCTATATGACTGTAAGCATTTTTGCAACATTTTTTTTATACCCCCCGCAAACGAAGTTTGGGGGGGTAAATAGGAATCACCTTGTCTGTCTGTCCGTCTGTCTGTGCAATCGTGTCCGGTCCATATCTTTCTTACAGAGGGACTTAAGAATCTACTACTCCATACAAAGATTGCCCATGACCTAAGGGTGTGTCATGACCTTGACCCAAGGTCATTTGGGGAACTTCAAGGTCACTGGAAGAAAAATTTCATATTTCGTGTCCGGTCCATATCTTTCTTATGGATAAACTTGGTAGGTTCTCATTTCACACAAAGATTGCCCATGACCCAAGGGTGTGTCATGACCCTGACTCAATGTCATTTGGGGAAGTTCAAGGTCACCGGAAGAAAAATTTCATAATTCGTGTCCTGTCCATATCTTTCTTATGGATAAACTTGGTAGATTCTCCTTTCACACAAAGATTGCCCATGATCCAAGGATGTGTCATGACCTTGATCCAAGGTCATTTGGGGAAGTTCAAGGTCACTGGAAGAAAAATTTCATAATTCGTGTCTGGTCCATATCTTTCTTATGGATAAACTTTGTAGATTCTCATTTCACACAAAGATTACCCATGACCCAAGGTTATTTGGGAAACTTCAAGGTCACTGGAAGAAAAATTTCATAATTCATGTTTGATACATATCTTTATTAAGGAAAAACTTACTTCTGAAAAACCCAGCAGGGGGTATTTTGTCCCGTTTGGACAGTTCTAGTTGAAATTTGGTCTGATTTCAGTATAGCGTAGTTTACAGGTAGACTACATCAACATACAAATGATATTATTACATTGTAGAAGAGTAAAAAAATCCAAATAACCAGTTTGTATACATGTAAACTTGTAAAAGTTAAACTAAAAAGAATACTGTATGATATGGAATGTTTTTATTTTTCACTGTTATAATAATTTTTATTTAATATTTGAATTATTTACATACTAGAAGAACGTGTCTTATCATAAACACATCCTAGCTGGAACTGGGGATATACTGTAATAATTTTTATTAAATATTTGAGCTGCTGAATATACATTACATATATATATGATGCTAATTAAGGTGTTCTATTTGTCGACATTTCTAGATAAATATAGTGGTGCTTCTATTAATTTGAATATATTAGCCTGGGTATATTTTGGTTCTGGTTCTTTCAAAATATCATATTTCTGTTTGAATTAGGCTTTAAATATTTTTCAGTGCTGAATATTTTTTTCAAACAATTGTACACTTTATCATTAAAATAGTATTCATATACAATCATTACATTCCATGTATATTTCCAGTTTCTAGTCAATGGCAGGGGTATTTGTGTGCCATGTTAAATGTGCAGATTTTAATCTTTCTGTTCCATATAATGTGTGTTATACTCAGCCAATCCATAATTGTGCTATTTTGCAATCTGTACATAAACACAATAAAAAGTGTCACCTTTTGTTGAGGTCGAGGAAACATATTCAGTGCTTTGTCACAGTGAGTACATTTCATATATTTTTAAGAATAAGGAACAGCAGTAATACTTTAAAGTAGAATTTGAATATTTGTTATTTTACTTTAAACTGTGTATGAAATAAATTAAATTTCTTCGAATAAAGCTTTGTTATGTTTAGAGGTTTGGAAAAGACCTGATATTGAAGGTAACAATTACATGAAATATTTCATAACATTTGCTCTAAATGCTATCAAAAACAATTTAACACCACAAAAATTGCTTTCTTTATTAAATAAAAAATTTTGTACAAAATTTTGTATTAAATAGATACTTGATTTAAATATAATAATTTTTATATTATTTTTAATTATTATTACAACAGTATTGCACAAGTAAATGTAAATAAAGCTTGCAAAAAACAAGTCATGAAATCAACAACATGGGAATTAAAATAATTCTCAAATGTCAGAATTCCTCTAACATTTCATCTGGCCAGTTCATAAGCCGGGGTAAGATAATTTTTCGGCACCAGACCAAATTTTCCATTGAGTTCTGCCACCCACCAGCTTTTGTCATCATACTTTCGACTGATGACGTACAGTTTATCTCCGCGCTTGAAGGCCAGTTCATTATTGCGATCAGCACTGCAGTCATATTTACCCAAGAACATGTTCTCATAATCCTGATCGGGTGGAATCTGGGGTTCTGCGTTTTTCTCGGGCTTGGTCTCTTTTGGCACTTCTGGAGGAGGAATACTTGGAGCTGGAATGCTGGGGAGGGGCTTGTGTGTGGATGGGGGTGGGGTAGGAGGAACAGCAGGGAGAGGCTTCTTGGATCCAGGTATTTCAGGTAAGGATCTAGAAGGAGTGGGGGGTGGTTGTTGACCTGTTAAGCAATCATCATATTCCTCTTGAGCATCCTCTGGGTTGACGGTATCATCGTAAATCTCATCACAGGTGGGCTCGTCCGGGGGAGGTGGGCGGGGTATGGAGGGGGGACCTCTACTGACAGGTTTGGGGGAAGGTTCTGGCTCTTCCAGGGTGTCATCATACAATTCCTCTGGGGCGGCGTCAACATTGTCTGCATTGTCCACGTCTTCATACACCTCTCCTGGCTCATCATCATCTGTCAAACATTTAATAGAAGTTATCTTTACATTAAGGATATTTTTCCAAAAAAAAAAAGATAAATCCACTGAATTCAAGTCATAGTCTTATTTTAACAAAAAATTTTCTCTTTTGTTATGCATATTTTTTTCTGTTTAATTTTTATGTTTATTTTTGTCTTAGAAATTTTCTTTATAGTCTACATGTATTACCAATACATGTATCACACTTTTCTGGTAGACATTTGTTGCAAACTTCTAAAACCTCCAGTAATTCATATTTTATGATAGAATGTAATGTGTATCTCTGTATCTTACTCAGTATATTATCCTTGGAGGATGCACTAAGAGCTCCTTTCATTATGGCAACCTTCCAATCTTCATAATCTTCCTTAGACTGAGCCACAAACTAATAAACAACAAGCATTTAAATTAATTCAGCTCCAAACCAAGAAACACAGCCGTTTTTTAAAATCAATGAAAACATTTTTTCAAATAAACCTACATATTTGGGGGTTAATGAAAATCAGAACTTTTACCTGGTATGTTCTTTTAGCGGGACAGACCAGCTGAAATCCGAGCTCCCGTCGAGCGGCGTCTTTTTTGTCCACGACGTCAGGGGCATCCTCCACCGTGTAACCGTTCAAGTAAAATGCTCCGTGCTGCTTACGCTCCTTGGCAGATTCATAGTAATAGAAAATGTTGTTCTTAATGGCACACCACCTCTTCTGTAGCTTTGGACCACTGAATAACAGTTTTCCTAGTCAAAGAGAATTATCATGTTATAAAAACAGAACAATACCGGCATTATGGAGCATTATAGTATTCATATTTGATGCCAGATATCGGTAGATAAAGCAATTCACCTTTCTTTTGTTTTTTATCCAGGAATCCACATTTGAATGTGTCTGTTAGGTCCTGGGCAGGAATAGCTGGGATGTCTAAAATGACAAAACCAATACATGTACATCAAAACTGTAGGTCAAAGAGACCAGATGCTCAATCTAACATGAATGATTCTTAAGTAAATAGCTTCATTTGCCTTTCAAAGATGATTCATGTTTGACTTATTATTTTTCCTGTCCACAATTTTACAAAGCAGCCATTCTTACTTGCATCTCCGTACTGGTCCTCATCCTCAGCGTTAGAACTTCCTCCTGTTCTTGTGGATTCATCTGTAAAACTCAGGTCACCTGTGAAATACAAACAGGGGAGTTAGATGTACATAAAACAACAAGTGACCATCTCTGTTTTGAAAAGGAATTGAAAAATAATATAATTTTTCTTTTTTTTTTGGTACATTTGCTATTGAATGGATTATTTACATGCATAATAATACAACTACTGTATATTTTGAGTGAGATGATTGCAATTACATTGTTATTTAGAGTTTCACTGAGAATAGTCCTATGTAGATGAATTCCTTTTAATTATTATAAAACTAATTAAAAGAAACAGTAATTTTTATTTTCTAATTATTTGAAATTTTATGAGTGTTAAGAAATATTGATTTATATGTACCTCGGACCACAAAATGCATTGTGAGAGATGAAACCCTCTCAATGCAAATAGATTTTTTTCTAAAATTATCTCCAATTTTCAACAGAATGTAGACTTGGTATGGAGTGTATTTGGCTGAAGATTTAAATTTTATGATGGATATAAGTGGAATTTAATTGCAAAATTATCTCTCCTAGCAGAGGAATTTTAACCACTCCTCCATAAACATATTACGTTATACATTATGATACTCAACAGCAACAATTCTCCCCTGATGAACATAAATCTATTTTATTTAAGTTCCATACACAATAAATCATACAAAGATAAAAAAAAAAAATGCAGTTATAATATATTAATCATTCTTTAAGATAAAATGTTATGCCCCATGTTAGGTGTATAGACAAATATTGAATTATGGTAACTTAAAGCAAGATATCAGTTTGCATATTTGAAATGAGCCTTCTTCCAACCCTATGAAATTCATGACCCCATATATGCATGTAGATTAATTAGGCCCAACTGTTGAAATGCTAAAAAAGAAGAAACTGTCTGATTCCCTTTTATCACATTAAGAAACTCTTCTTAAGGGCTTTTATTTCATGTTCCTCAATTTCTTAAAAAAAAATATATAAGCCAACCACTGTTACAACATTCCTTTAAAATAAAAATATGAAAAACATAAGTAACCCTGGTCCTTCAGCCTCACAGCTTACCCAAGAAAGACAATCTGTAGGTCCACCGTTTTCTTAAGGTGCCGTGAGCAGCAGTATCTTTAGATATTACATATTATGAATAAGTATAGGTAATCAAAGATTACAGAGCTTACCTCAACAAATATTATTTTAATAATAAGTAAGGCACAGCCCAACATTAATACTATAATCTAATGTATGGGTGCATCCCAAGATGTAACATTTATGCAATCTTAGTCTAATAGGGCTTGCAGTCACTCTTCCAAAATAGGCAAGTGAAATCCAACATCTGAAGTAAGTTTAAGATTGTTCATCCCTTATTGATCATCCATGTACGATTTTCTTGGTAGAGGTGTAAGTTACACTGGAATGAGTCTGCTCCAAAAACTTTAACTCAGTCATTCATTTGAAAAAATCCCACATCCACAGCAACTTTGGTAGTGAGCATCAATATGAAAGTTGGTCAACAGATGCTTAAAAATTAATACTTGAAAATGAGACCTGCTTCAAAACCTTTACCCCTGTCACTTACCCGGAGAATGTAAATCAGATCCAGCATCCTAAGCAAGCCTGGTAAAGTTTGTGCAAGTTTGGTCAGTATAGGGCTTATAGTTAAAATGTACTTGGAAATGACACCCACTCTGAAAACTTTAACCTAGCTGCTCCAAAAATGTTTACTTGGTCATTCTTTAGCTGAAATTGCAGCATCTTGTGGTACAATAAAACATACTAGAAGCATCTTCCATGCATCTCTGATTGATATAGGGCATGGAAGTACTTTTAAATAAATCTGCTCCAAAAACTTAAGTCTGAAATGCTGACAACAATAAGAGGGTACAACATAAGCTCTTTTCAATCAATTTCGTTGAGGTCAAATAAAAATACAGTGGAACATTGGTATTTCAATACCATGGATATGTGTAAGTTATTTTAGGGTCCCAACCACTCACTCTATAAGTATTTTACTCTTGAAATCTCAAACCCCAGATATTTTGTAGTTTTCCTTTGGTCCAATCAAATTCTAGCCCTTACCAAAGTAAAATTATTGCAGCAATATTGCCGCTATATTGCGGCAACATTGCAGCAACACATTTTTGTCACCAGAAACAAGCTTTTTGGGTTAGTGAAATATCACCGCTAGCGGCAACAACTTCTGGTGACTTTCTGGCAATACTGCCAGAAAAAAACTTTCTGGCAGTATTGCCAGAATGTCGCCAGAAGATCTAGGATTACCCATTAGGCAATTGTGAGCATGCTCAGTCATATACTTCCTCTTTTTAAATAAAATGGAGGGAATTCAAAGGCAAGCATGTTTTGCTTCATTATTGAATGGTATCAAGTTAATTGGAGTTGTTAATTGTGTACAATAGGATTAGACATGATGACTAGTAAGACTGAATAATGTGGAATAGCCAGAAAAAAGAATTTCAGCAGTTTCCATATGGCATGCCGTTTGAAAGAATTATAGGAATGTCTAACTCTGTTTTCATGATATATCAAACTTGGTAAGTCAAAACCATATTTTTTTAGATGAATGATTGTATGGAGATAAAATAAGAAGAATTATATGTATTTCAACTGGTGTTTGTGATGCATGTATACTATACTTGTATGTCTAATATATATCGTTGTTGCAGGAAAAGATGAATGCATGTTAATCAATTAAATGCATGAAGTTCAACATATATAATTAATTTATTGCATAAATTTGAATACCAGCAAGAAAATAATGATATATGTTGGAAATTACAAACAAGCTATATATTATACATTATACTGATTGGCCTTGGGGAATATGTGATGGGCAGCTAATTAAGGTTATTTGAAAAATAATGCAGAGTTGCTGGACATTTTCACAGTGGCATATTAATATTTTTTATATACACATTTTTATGTGCCCAGATTGATAGATTTGGGCGCATATTGTTTTTGTCCTGTCTGTTTGTAAACTTTAACCTTTGCCATAAGTGATAACTTTTGAACCAATGAGAGATAGAGACTTCATATTTGGTATGCAATTATTAAGTCCTTTCAAACCCAAGGTCAATGATATTGACTGTGTATATGTTTTTTTTTATTGAATGTTCACCATTTTAAAAACCTTGAGGAGACTATATATTTAGTATGCCTCAACTAATTTAGGTCAAATCTAACCTTGGATAATATGCTTAAAATAGATTTTTTGAACCTTTTACTTTTGAACCATGACAGATGGCAACTTAAATTTGTATGCATTCTCCAAATTATTTTTCAAATGACACCAAGGTCAATGTTGTAAACTCTGCTGTGATCTATCAAAAATAGCCTTTTTAAACCTTAATTTTGAACTATAAGAGATAGAGACTTCATATTTAGGATGCATAATCCACTAATTAAGTTCTTTCAAATGACACCAAGATCAATGACCTTGTGACTTTGACTGTAACATATATTAAAATGGTTTTTCAAACTTTGTGATATTTTTTCAACATTTTTGTTGTAGCCAATTAATATTGATTTTTATGTTCCTCAGCACAATTTGTTAATTGTTAGAGGATAATTTTTCATTAATACCAATTTATATAGTTATAGTACTTGTTGCCCCAATATTGCTGCACTTTTAAATTGCTTTGCATTGAAAATATTGCTGCAATAATTTACAACGATTAATATTGGTGCTATTTTTGTTAAATAATTTAATTAATTTACATACGAAAAACGACCGCAATATAATGTATTGCCAAATGTTGAACAATATCGCGGCAATAATGCCCGATGATGTTGCCAGAAGGTAAAAAGCTAACAAGGTTTTACTGTACTTTACTTCTTTACTAAAATTTAAATCTGTGTGTTAAACATTTTTGTTTAATCTAGGGAGAGGTCAATATTTTCTTGTGTTTTTAAAATGAAAATTGAATAAAACAAATGAATTAATTAATATCACATAGAAATAAATCTTGCAAAAACAAGTCACTCAAGTCATACAAATAAATAAATAAATAAATAAATATTGAAATAAATTAATTACATTCACAGACTATCAATGATGGAATAGATGAAAATGACTTTGACTACATTGCACCACTTTGTGAATTTCGTTATAATTTTCTATGAACACATTCATGTTTTTCAGTGTTAAATACAAAACAAAAATATCACAGAATTGCTGCAAATTCTATCACAGTCTGAAAGTTAATAAAAATTATAAATAAAAATACATCATGTCAAAAGATTTTACACTTTTTAATTCTCCTTTTCTTCTTGACTTGTAAAGCCGCGCGCGTGGCCGTCTCGAACACTTTTCGAACACCTTCCTGCGTTTTCGCGGAACACTCTATAAACGCAAAAGCGCGGATATGCTCCGCAATAGCCTGTCCTTCCTGGGCTTTCACTGGCTCCTTCTTCTCCAGCTCCAGTTCCTTAATAACTTCCGGGTCAGTCCGGGTGTCTTTTTTGTTTCCCACCAGAACGATGGGTACGTTGGGACAGAAATGCTTGACCTCGGGGGTCCACTTCTCCCTGATATTGACCAGGCTGTCGGGATTGTCTATAGAGTAACACATAAGAATGACGTCAGTATCGGGATAGGACAGAGGGCGGAGTCGGTCGTAGTCCTCCTGACCCGCTGTGTCCCACAGGGCCAACTCGACCTGTTTATTGTCAACTTCAATGTCTGCAACATAGGTCTCGAACACTGTAGGAATGTACACATCGGGGAACTGATCCCGACTGAATACCATCAATAAACACGTTTTCCCCGAAGATCCATCCCCAACGATCACCAATTTCTTCCTGACTTCCGCCATTCCAACTTCGGAAAATTCTTTCTTGGGCCGCAAACAACACAAAGACATCTGCTGACTATTTGTTTATGTAATTGCTAACCGCTGTTAGGCTGTGTTATTATATACCTGTGTTGCCCTGTTCTATATTTAGCATTCCAAATTTAAATGCCCCGTGATTGGCTGGTTATTTTGAAACCTTACAGGTGTGTCAATCGTTTGTATATATATGACCTATCTATTTCGAGTTCATGTACAGTAGTACACTGTACTTGTACGGTAACTGGTGATGTGCGCAATTCAAGTTTGTATTTAAAACAAACAAAAATTAGCTTGATACATAAAACTGAACCATTAGAATTATCTATAGGAATTTCACACATTTTGATAAATCAATAAAGTATAATTTTTAAATAATTCCTGCAGGAATTAATACTTAATATTTTTTTTAAAAAAGTTAAATAATCCTTTCATAATATTGTACTTTAATGACAGAATTTTTTACCTTTTATTTTTAATTCAAAAAAATCTCTATTTTTGCTCTTTTTATGTCCCCACTATATTTTATATACATGAGTAAACATCATAAATTGCATCAAAAAGTTTAACGAATGTTGTAACATCTACAGTTTTTACATATTTTTTATTTCAACCTCGAAATTATCAAGGCGCAGACTAACAGCAGCATACAATTTTATACGGCTGATACAACTTAACAGTACACTACATCTAAGTGCCACTGAGACTTTTTTTTTTACATAGCTAATATTATGTGCTCCATTTATTTACGAATGAAGTTTGTAAGTGAAAGTTACACAGAAATTCAGAGTTTCAGACTGCATGGGTAAAAATTCAAACCAAGTCTCTAATTAATTCAAGTTATAGAAGTAAACAGATCATGTGATTATATATATCAATGTGTGTAAGCTTTTACCTGATTTGGTGTCATCGATTGGTTTCTCCGGGGTCAGTTGGGGGAATTCGTCCCTTAGCCTCCCTATCTTGTCAAGGATTGTCTGTTTGTGATCCTTGGAGGACTTTGATAAGGATTCTTTCTTAATTGTTTCTACCAGAAACTTCTCCACATCTGCAGTCAAGATACACGTATATATATATAATGGTGGAGAGGGAGAGAGAGAGAGAGGGGGTTGTTGAATTTTAATTAGCTGTTTAATCACAGTAAATCACATTTAATTAATAGATTAGTCAAGCCTATTCCAAAATTATGGCACAAGAGTCTTCATATTTTGAACTTCCTTGACTAATGAACATTAAGTACGAGTTATTGACCAGGACCGCGGGGAATCGGGAAGGGGGGGGGGGGGGGGGCTGATTTGACTTGGATTTCAGATGATTTCCTTTTCTTGTCCATCTAATGTCATCATTAAATAAAACAGAGTTGTACTTTTTATGTCAACGTAAGCAAGTGTAGTTAAAATGCATACAACTTTCAAAATAATTGCTAGGGATACGTGAGTTCAGCTGACATAATTCCTTTCAACAGCTAATCTTGTTTTCGGTATTTTTTCTTGAAATAAAAGGGCCTTAATTTTATGTAAATACCCCTTTTTGAAAAACAAATCTTCAAAGTTATTTTGCTAAAAGAACAAATGTTCATTATCAATATATTTAAAATAAATGTTTCTAGATCTTTTTCTTAAAATTACTGAAAAAGCTGCTAAATACATCAGAGACAAAGAAAAAGAAACGGGTTTTTTTATGAAAAAAAAAAATCTTGGTTAGGAAAGAAGTGTTCCTTCTATACCCTCCCCGTATGGCCTTTTTTTGAAAGCCTGGGAAAAAGCCCGAATTTCCACCTGGTCATGATGTATCCGTGGGTAGTATGTAAAGAGGGAAGTGTCAATATTCGATACAGGAAAAAAAAAGAAACATCAATATTTTGACCTGTGTGTCAAGATACGAACTGACCTATATCATTTCTTGCTTTCATTCATTAAAAAGCTCTATTATATAAATATTGCATGTAGTTGAGTGTAACATTGAAAATTTTCATCCCAAGAAAAACATTGTCAACCGAGGCGCAGCCGAGGTTGACAATGGTTTTCGAGGGGTGAAAATTTTCAATGTTACACTCAACTACATGCAATATTTATTATATTATACTGAATGTTTTATACAAATACATAATTATAATAGTGAACCGTGCGCGCATAAATTCTGCGCAGTCACTATTTTTTGGAATACCACCCGTCGTCAAGCAATGTTGACTGTTGCTACGCAGGAGGGCGTGGCTTCATTATTCAGCGGGTAATAGTGCTTTTTAACAAATGTTTCTCGACGAATCAGGTTCAAGTAATTTACATGAAAGTATAATATTCTGAAATATCTGACGTTTAACAGGTCTTATTTTTTTTTTTTTTTTTTTTTTTACAGTTTTGATATTTTAAATATATCAATATCTTAAAATATCAAAATCGTAAAAAAAAGGATCTGGAAAACGTCTGATATTTCGGACAAATTATGTACTAGATATACATACATGTAACATCAAAGCTGGGCAATATTTAGCCTAAAAGAAGCAAGAAGTTGATGAACATAATCATGCATTGTCAATCATAATAAAACTCTAATTGCTCGATACTTGTTGATACTTTTCATTGATATGTATTGTATACGACGGTTAAAATAACTTTGTTGCCAGTAAATTTTAATATCATACCTTTATCACCTGCATATGGGGTTTATACCTCTCAGTTGATTCGATACGCAAGAGCATGCTCTAGGTATGCACTATTTCTAAAATGAGGTAAGTTACTGACAAACAAGTTGATGAAACAGAAATATATTAATCTCGTTTAAAGTCATCGTTTCACAAGTTATATGTCTATACAATGACTTAATTTGTCAGCTATAACAGTCTATCATTAAGTCAAATGCTGACCGACATTTTTATATGTTAGCTGTGATTATGTTATGTTTATGCCCATTGGGGGTATTTATTTGGAAATAAATTTTATCCTATTCCATGGATTTTCCCATCATTTCACGATCATATAATAAGTAACACACAGTGGGTGTGGTCGTTTGACAAGGGAAGCTCACTCCTCCATGACACCTGATCCCACCACTGATGTTTTAGAGGACTGTGTTTGCTCTGCTACTGATTTGTATTTTTTAAAATTGACTTTTGAGCTTGTATAGTGTTCGTTATCTCCATTTATTTTCATTTTTGAATGGAGTAATCCCCAGTTGCCGGGATTCACCCATCGTCTCAAGCCACGGTCCGGAGCCCGCATAAAGCTGTCTCCAGAATGGGAGAGGATCGTACATTTTGGCCGTGGTTTGCGACGATGGGATTCACCAGAATTCCAAGACATCATGCAATGCAGTCAACATTTATTAGCCTTTTGATGTAACTCGCGAAACTTTTATCATCTACAAAAATTAGCAGGAGTAATCATTATATATTAGCTTAATTCAGTTAATTACTTTGTGGGATATTTCACAATGCTTACCAATTAGAAATTCCTTAAAGGTTTCGTAAATGGTCGTCATTTTTCTAGAGGAAAGTGATAAAAATCATGCCAGAAACCAGGAAGAAACTGACTTTTTCTGCTTCCTTGTTTACATTTTTCGTTTTTTGGGGATCTCGAACCCGACTAAAACAGAAGGCGTTATCTTTCTGGCACACACTATATATTCTTTGAAATCAGATATTTAAAGAAATTGACAACTTGGGGTAAATGTGATTATAAAAAATATAACATAAGAAAAGTCCAATTAAAATATTTATTTCATATCATTTTATAATGCATATATAGAATAATTGAACAAAACAATTTACACCCCCTTTCAGACTCCTTAACAGGTCATCAAGCTGCAGAGTATGTTTTATATATTAAAGTCATCTGCAACTAAGCAATACATTAGAACTTTGTTACAAATCAACAATCATTCATACAAATTTGTTGTATTGACTTTACAAGTATGAAGATATTTTTTAATAAAAAAATCGAGACAGAATTCTGCAGAAAAAGGTAGATAATCCTTTATCATACGATCAGTTTTTAAAACTTTTCCCCAATATGTGTGCATTCATCAAACAGGGTTATACTGATTCAATTTTTGGATTTTTAAAAAATCATATCAATATATCGCATTATATAAAGCAAGAATTTTTTTAAAATATCATTCCAATTCATTTAGATTTTTTAAAACAATTAAGTACCTTTTTTGTATCAAAACATCTGGTTAATAGTCAGTGACTCCAAAAACACAAACAAAAAAACAACAACCTAGCAAATTCAAAGAATTGTGGTCCCCTGCTTTCTGTGTCCTAGCTAGTGGATGGGATGTTTGAAAATAGGTTGAACTTCAAGGTCAAGGGGGAAATTTTTTAAAAAATTTGGGGGAAAAAAAAACCCCCTTGGGGAAAAAACCCCTTTTCCCCAAAAAAAATTTAAAAAAAAAGGGGGTTTTCCCTTTAAAATTTTTTTAAAAAAAATTTTTTTTTTTAAAACCCCCGGCCGAAAAAAAAAAAAATTTTTTAAAAAAAAATTTTTTAAAAAAAGGGGTGAAAAATTTAAAAAAAAAAAAAAATTTTTTTTTAAAAAATTTTTTTAAAAAAACAAAAAAAAATAAAAAAAATTTTTCCCAAAATTTTTAAAAAAAAAATTTTTTTTTTTTTTAAAAAAAAAAAAAGAAAAAAAAAAAAAAAAAAAAAAAAAAAAAAAAAATTAAAAATAAAAAAAATTTTTTTTTTTTTAAATTCCCCAAAAAAATTTTTAAAAAAATTTTCCCCTTTTTTTTTCCCCCCCCAAAAAAAAAATTTTTTTTTTTTTTCCCCAATCCCCCCCCAAAAAATTTTCCCCCCTTTTAAAAAAATTTTTTGGAAAAAAATTTTTTTTAAAAAAATTTTTTTTTTCCCCAAAAATTTAAAAACTTTTTTTTAATTTTTTTGGTTTTTTTTTTTTTAAAATTTGGGGGGTTTAAATTTTTAAAAAATTTTTTTTTTTTTTAAAAAAAAAGATAAGAATTTTAAAATTTTTCGAAATAAAGAAAAAAAAATTTATAAAAAAATTAACCAATTTTTTTTTTTAAAAAAATTTTTTTTTGGGGGGTTTTTAAAATTTTTTAAAAAAAAAAAAAATTTAAATTTTTTTGATTTCAAAAAGCAAAAAAAAATTTTAAAAGAAAAAAAATTTTTTAAAATTTTTTTTTAAAATTTTTTTTTTAAATTTTTTGGGTTTTTTTTAAAAAAAACCTTTTTTTGATTTTTTTTTTTTTGGGTTTTAAAAGGGGGGGGCCCCTTTTTGGGTTTTTTGGGGGTTTTTTTAAATTTTTTTAAAAAAGGGGGAAAACCCCCCCCCCCAAATTTTTTTTTCCCGGGGCCCCCCTCCCCTTTTTCCCTTAAAAAAAAAAAAGGGGGAAAATTTTCCCCCTTTTTTTTTGGGTTTTCGAAAAAAAAAAAAAAAATTTTTTTTTTTTTAAAAATTTTTTTGGGGGGGAATAAAAAAAAATTAATTTTTTTAAAAAAAAAAAATTTTTTTTTAAAATTTAAAAAAAAAAAGGAAAAAAACCCCCAAAAACCTTTTTTTTTTTTCCCCCCTTTTAAAAAAAAAAAACCCCAAAATTTAAAAAAAATTTTTTGGGAAACAAAAAAATTTTTTTTTAAAAAAAAGGGGGGGAAAAAAAATTTTTAAAAAAAAATTTTAAAAAAATTTTTGGGGCCAAAAAAAAGCAAGAAGTTTTTTAAAAAAAAATTTTTCCCCCAAAAAAAAAATTTTAAAGGGAAAATTTTTCCCTTTTTAAAACAAAAAAACCCAAAAAAAATTTTTTTTTGGTTTTTTAAAAATTTTTTTTTTTTAAAAAAAAATAAAAATTAAAAAAAAAAAATTTTTAAAAAAAAAAAATAAAAAAAAAAAAAAAAAAATTTTTTTTAAAAAAAAAAAAATTAAAAAAATTTTTTTTTTTTAATTTTTTTTTAAAAAAAAAATTTTTAAAAAAACCAATTTTTTAAAAATTTTTTAAAAAAAAACCCTTTTTTTGGGAAAAAAAAACCCCCAAAATTTTTTTTTTAAAAAACCCCCCCTTTGGTTTTTTTTAAACAAAAAAAAAATTTTAAAAAATTTTTGGGTTTTTTTAAAAAAGGGGCCAAAAAAAAAAATTTTTTTTATTTTTTTCCCAAATTTTTTTTTAAAAAATTTTTTTGGCCCCCAAAAAAATTTTTGGGGGTTTTTTTAAAAATTTTTAAAAAAAAAAAACCCCCCCCCCCTTTTTCCAAAAAAAATTTTTTTCCAAAAAATTTAATTTTTTTTTTTTTTTTTTTTTCCCTTTTTTTTGGGGGGGCCTAAGGGCCAAAGGGGGGGGGGGGTTTTAAAAAAAAAACCCCCCGGGAAAAGGAAAAAAATTTTTTTTTCCCCGGGGGTTTTTTTTTTTTTTTTTTTTTTTTTTTTTTTTTTTTTTTTTTTTTTTTTTAAAAAAAAAGGGGTTTTTATTTTATTTATTTTAAATTAAACAAAATTTTTTTTTTTAAAAAAAAATTTAAAAATTAAAAAAAACCCCCCCCCCCCAAAAAATTTAAAAAAAAAAATTTTTAAAAAAAACCCTTTTTTAAAAAAAAAAAAAAAAATTTTTTTTTTTTTTTTTGGGGGGGGTTTTAAAATTAAAAACCCCTTTTTTTCTTTTTTTGGGGGTTTCCCAATAAGCCAGGGGGGGCCCCCCCCCCGGGGGAAAGGGAAGGAAAAAAAAAAAAAATTTTTAAAAAATTTTTTTTCCCCAAAAAGGGACCCTTTTTTTTTTTCCCCCAAAAAATTTTTAAAAACCCCAAAGGGCTGTAAAAAAATTTTAAAAAAAAGGGTTTTTTTTAAATTTTTTTTTCCCAAACCAAAAAATTTTTTAAAAAATTGGGGGCCAAAAAAAAAGGGGGTTTTTATTTAAAAAATTTTAAAAAAAAATTTTAAAAACCCCCCGGGGGTTTTTTTTTTTTTTTTTTTTTTAAAAAAAAAAACCCAAAATTTTTAAAAAGGGTTTTTAAATTTTTTTTAAAAAAAGGGTTTTTTTAAAAAAAAAAGGGGGAAATTTTTTTTTTTTTTTTTTTTTCCCCAAAAAAAAAAAAAAAAAAAAAAGGGTTTGTTAATTTAATAAAAAATTAAAAAAATTTTAAAAAAAAAAAAAAATTTTTTAAAATTTTAAAAATTAATTTTTTATTAATTAAAAATTTTAAAAAAAAAATTTTTTTTTTTTTAAAATTTTTAAAATTTCCCCCCCTTAAAAAAAAAAAAAAATTTTTGGGGTTTAAAATTTTGGGTTTTTTTAAATTTTTGAAACCCCGGAAATTTTTAAAAAAGGGGGTTTTTTTTTAAAAAAAAAAAAAATTTTTTTTTTTATAAAAAAATTGGGGGTTTTTTTTTATATAGTTTTTTTTTAAAAAAAATTTAAAAAAAAAAAAAACCCCTTTTGGGGGTTTTTAGTTTTCCCCCTTTTTTTAAAAAAAAAGGGGAAAAACCCAAAAAAACCTTAAAAATTTTAAAAAAAAATTTTTTTTTTGGGAAAATTTTTTTTAAAGCCCTTTTAATTTTTTTTGGGGGGGGAAAAAAATTTTTTTTTTTTTTCCCCCCCCCCCCCCCCCCCCCCCCCCCAAAAAAAAAAAAAAAAGGGAAAAAAATTTTTTAAAAAAAGGGTTTTTAAATTTTTAAAAATTTTAAACCCTTTTTCCCAAAAAAAAAATTTTTGGGGAAAAAAAAACCCCCGGGGGGTTTTTTTTTAAAAAAATTTTTTTAAAAAAAAATTTTTTTTTTTAAAAAAAAAAAAAATTTTAATTTTCCCCAACCCCCCGGGGTTTTTTTTTTTTAAAATTTTTTGGGTTTTTTTTAAAAAAAAAAAACCCCAAAAAAAAAAAAAAATTTAAAATTTTTGGGGTTTAAGGGAAAAAAAAAAAATTTAAAAAAACCCCCAAATTTTTTTTTTTAAAAAAAATTTTTTTAAAATTTTTTTTTTTTTTTTTTAAAAAAAAAAAAATTTTTTTTAAAAGGGGAAAAAAATTTTTTTTTTTTAATAAAAAAAAAAGGGGGTTTTTAAATAAAGGGGGGTTTTTTTTTTTGGGGGGGGGGGTTTTTCCTTTTAAACCCCCCCCTTTTTTTTTTAAATTTTTTTTAAAAAAAATTTAAAAATTTTAAAAAGGGAAAACCCAAAAATTTTTTTTTAAAAAAAAAAAAAAGGGGTTTTTTTTTTTTTTTAAAAAATTTTTTTTTTTTTTTTGGGCCCCCCAAAAAAATTTTAAAAAATTTAAAAAATTTTAAAAAAATTTTTTAAAATTAAAAAAGTTTTTTTTTTAAAAAAAAAATTTTAAAAAAAAAAGGGGAAAAAATTTTTTTTTTTAAAAATTTTTTTTTAAAAAAAAAATTTTTTTAAAAAAAAAAAAAAAAAAAAAAATTTTAAAAAAATTAAAAAAAAAAATTTTTAATTACCCCTTTTTTTTTTAAAAAACCCCCTTTTTAAAAAAAAAAATTTTTTTTGGGAAAAATTTAAATTTTTTTAAAAAAAAAAAAAAAGGGGGTTAAAAAGGGCCTTTCCCAAATTTTCCCTTTTTTAAAACCCGGTTTTTTTTTAAAAAAATTTAAATTTTTTAAATTTTTTTC